ATAAAGAGCCCTCGATGTTCGAGAAGATATAAAACCCGAGCGTCAGGGTATCCTAAATACATAAGCAGTCGTGAAGATACAGCCCGTTCAAAGCCAACTATGGGTTCGTTAAGAATATATACGTCTTCTTCGCAGGGCCATAGACGACATAAGCAACACATCGGACGGGAAGCGTAGTAACGAGCGCAGACCCGGGGGGAAATGCAGAGCCTCGGTTCGACCACATGTACTTGGGACAAGGAACGTCGCATTCGCTGGAGCACAACCTTGTCCAGAACTAGATTTGGTTGGTAAGCCGGGTATCCAGCGCGGTGACCTTAGTAGCCTGTTCTTGAGAAATGTGTCAGGTTCTTCTTGACCAAAGCATGTATGACAGCCTCCAGCGGCGAACCCCGTCGAGTGAGACAGAAAACGGTTAAAAGGGAGCTAGCTGTCTTGCAAGTGCTCAAAAGGATATGCGTGCCAATTGATCCACTTACACCTATTAAAATCTGGGTCTTGTGAGAAGTGTGAGCAACAGCCTTTTCGTTACCTCACTGGACCTACCATGCTCTTTTTGTATTCTGCGGTTGTTCGTCGTGGGACATGATCCCTGAAGAATGAGCGGTCTTCTCATCTACATCCCCTAGGGTGCGGTCGACATCCTGTGAGGATGACACCAGGGGAGTGGGTGAAACAAAGTAAGCCCACGGCTATTGTTGGAGAATGTTCTGGACTATCGAATGGATACCGGGGTTGTTCCCGTGTAGGAGAGTCTTACAGCTTACTGTATGAATCTAGCCAATACGCGCCTCTCCCGAAATTCACGGAGAAAGCATCATAACTGCATATTCTAGCCAACTGAGAGCAAATAGTGCGATTACGGTACTGAGGTCGGGTGTGATAAGCAGCGCGATAATTATGCGGTTTCCATGTGGCTATCGCAATACCCGCTATGGTGGAATACTGTGGGCTTTTGAGATGGACAAAGGATCTTACTGGCCGGAACCCATCATCTATGAGTATAAAGGCTGCTTCGTCGATCATGTTATCCAGGTCGTGTCTAGTATAGTAGTTGTAGACCGCCGCATTGTGCGCCGAACTAAGGTAAGCGAGTATTGGGCATTCCACAGCATCAGCGACGCGAAGTCGAATAATATCATCGAGGACATAAAGCCGCCCGAATTTCCTGTCCATCTGGTCGGTCGTGCTAGACAGGCTGTGTATTCCACCATAGCTGGTTTTTGTTGTTGAACGACGAGGAGCGTGACTGACTCTTTTTTTATTTCATCATCGTCTTCTGGCGTGGGTTTTTTTTAACTTAAGGAGCTACGACCTTTCTCGATCTGTATGATATATAATACCGGGCTCTTATTTATGGGCTGTTTACCAAACCAGTCATTCTTACATCACATGTGACGCTTTGGCTAGTAATAAATACTATGTTATATATTGGTCCCGAAGTATAATTCTATTTTGCCAAGTTCAACGCCTCTATGTACCGACCGTTTCCTTGAATTTTGGGTCACCTGACGTCCTCTTGTCACTCATTCACGGATAAGGAAGCGGAAACCGTATTATTCTGCGCTGCAAAGTAGCATGGGTCTATTGTGGCACAATGCTGCATTTTGGTTCTAAAACGAATATCGCAGCTCCTGCGAATTGATCCGCACCTGTACGTCTAGCTTTTGATGTCTTCATCTCTAGGGCTCATTGTTTGGGCCGAATACGCAGGCGCTTTCGTATCAATACCATTAATGAGACTTGAAGAGGGCTTCAAGAGTGCAGCTCAAAGTGGAACAGGGAAGGTAGATATTTCTAGATTTGAAGAGTAACCCAGCCGTCAAAATCCCACATGCCTGATAGGGGAAGACAATGAGGGAGTTGATAGAAAATTTCTAGTAATTAGCTTCAACATCCCCTCCCCTCCGCCTGTTTTGTGTGTGGGGGGGGGGTTTCTCTCTTTCTTTCTTTTTATTTCCTTCAGCAGATGTAATTTGCCTAGCACAATAATTGTAGCGTCGTTGGATTGTTAATATACTTTGATCTCACCGTGGTGAACTGAATTGTAAGACCTGTGAGCTAGGGAATAGATAATGAACAAAACCTCACTTTCATACTACCCAGCTGAAGAAGCCCCCGAATTAGCCTAATAGAAAAGTGTTAACGAAGCTATCTAGTCCTTGGCTCGTAAAGATGCCCGGAGAGCCTCCTTGCTCACTCCTCGAATTCTTAGTTGGACTCATGATCTGACTGACCCAGGGCGGATAGTTATTTCTCAACCACGTGGCTATATAGTCTATATGTGTGGTCATTTCTGGAGGAGAAACCCTCTCCAATATTTTTATATTGTGAATTATTGCGTGTCGCTCAGCAAAATACTCAGGATGCGGGGTTTGATAATCCTGTAACGCGTTAATGCATAATCGTAGGTAACCAAACCACGGCTCGATATATAAAGATCTTGGATCACAGTCGATCCAATAAGGGTCTCTTAGATTGGGCAGGAAGGTCCTAGGCGGTAATATATTAGGCGGCCATTCAATATCGACCACGGAGAAGTAGCCCTGGTAGATTTGATAGTTCCGGAGAGCGCGAAAGCTCGCCATTCCTCTTGTTAACTTTAAGTTATAGCCAAGGATACTTAAAAGGCTAGCCTCGAGGCCTTCAAGCTTCTCAGGCAATATTGATAGTTTTTTTGCAAAATACGAGATTGAATGGATATAGTCATCGGCCACTAACCCCGCTTAGCTCATCACGTCGTACAGCCCCAGGGTTGTGTGTATCTAACCTTTTTGAGAGAGAAATAGTGCAGCCATTAAAAACCCCCGGAATGGTTCCATATCATTTTGCCGTTTCTTTCGAACCTCTATCATAAGGCACATTGCATAAAACAGAGGGATATGGCCGATGTCTGCACTTTTGATCACCCGGTATATTTCCTTTTTAATACCAACCCAATTACGCGCTCTGGTATGACCCCTAAACCAAATCACGAAGATTTCCTAGTAGGTCAGCTATGCCATTTCGCCGCCATTCAGATTTGATCCTACCTCGGCAGATAACCAAAGATCTAGGTCGCTAATCATTGCGTGCAAACTTTACTGAATTTGCTCTTAAGGCCTTCTAGCTTTTAATATGATAAGTCCTGGTAAATCTATTTTTGTTCAGTTGTGAAGGCTCAAGTTCGGTCCTCTAGTCCACCACACTGTGGGTGTCCTGCCCCACGGGTACATACAGTCTATTTTAAGTTTGATATAGCGTTGCTTTCCAATATCAGCCTGTCTATGTTCAGAAAGAAAGAGTAGCACCGCCTTCCTCCCTCCCTATCTTTGTGCCCGAGTGATGCCAGCTCGATACTATCGATGTCCCTTAATGCCGATGATATGTGGAGCTCGTCCCCAAGGGAATTTGTGTGCCATTTTTGGTACCTATCTAGTTACGTCAATCTGCTCAGAATTTTTACTCAAACGTAAAAACGGAACACTCCAATCCCCGTTTATTATAAGGGGAACTAGTAGCCTATATGTCTGCTTCAGCGCTGCTATCAATGCTAACAATGACCGCAAACAGCTTTCTGCCTTGGGTTCGGATCATTCATGAAGACGGCGAGAACCCTATGATTGAGCTGTATGGTGCATATGATAAAACGAATGGTCGCTGTCGACCGGCTATCGTGACTTTCATCGGGCATGAGTTCGATCAAGAAGCCGGCGTCCTTGGAATTGATTCATTCTTGCATTTCATTGACCAGCAGGCAGTTGCGTGTAACATTGTTCGACGGGGGATAAGCACAAGAAAAATTCGCAGCCACCGTGTCAAGAAAAGGGCAGAGCTCCCTTACGACCATCCCGAGCTCCTCCTACATAAAACATCCTACATACTTAGTGACCTTGTCTGTATCGTAGCCAAAACGCTAGACGAAGCAGCAGATACCCTTATTCAGTGTTTTTCGAATCTCTCTAGCTCTAGGAGCGCCAACCGACCACAGATTGTAATAGTAATAAAGCATATCCCCCACGCCTGTCCATCCTCTACACATCAAGACACAGCGAAGGAGGACCCTGGCATGGGAGGATGCCATACATATTTCATCAAAAAATGTTACGAAAAGGCCCATCGCGAAGGGCCCTATTGCTTAGATGGTCTCAATGCTCACTCATTTGAGAGAATTCACATATGGCCGGATTTCCTTTTGCCGGCCACCCTACCCGAGGTTTTTCTTCCTATCATACAATCTCACCTGAAGGGCATTCAGAAAAGACGCCGGAGAACTGGATGTTTTTGGACCTTGAGACAGTTTGTCTGTCTGGCGGAGGACTTGTGGACAGCAGCTGATGTCTTGGCGGTGGAAGGGCGAAGCTTTCCCAGAGTAATCCGGGAGCGATTGTGGCCTGGTCCAGGCATGAGGAACCACTCGACCCTCGTCAGTTGGCTCTGTCTATCGAATCAAGAGCGCCCCTTGATATCGTATATAGTTCCTATCCTAGCAAGACTATTTTCTCACGATGCCCGGATTCTACCACATAGTAGGTTGAAGATTTATGCATTTTATCATTCTATCTCGACCATCATCTCTTTCTAACCATTTAATTAGAATTCCCGCCAGAAGAGCTTTTCTATACTCTGTATTACCCTTTATGCCAAGAGGCATGGACACTAGCAGCCGCAAAGTCCCAGATTGTAGCAAATGCTGATCGTGACTTTGTTTATCGGGGCATCGTGCGTAAGATGGAGATGTGGTCGGAGGGGTCGGAAAAGGAGACCCAAAAATTGCTGAAGAATGTCACCGGGCAGTCCTTCTGTAGTGGATGCCTCTGGGATCTCCCCCTTTAATTTCGTTCCCCTGTGGACATAATATCTGTGAGCGGGATGCCTGGATGTATGGGGATCGTGCGTATCACTGGACCACAGTCGTTACCTTCCACACCTGTCCGGTTTGTAATATGTGCTTCACTTGCACAGGCTGGGTATGTCTATGTAGGGATCGAGGAACTTGCTATAAGCCCCCAGAGTCCCTCATGCAAACAGCCAGAACATCGCTTTCGGTGCGTCTTCGCCCACTTCAAGCAGGGTTCCGAGTTGCGACGTTTGATGGCGGCGGTGTGCTCGGGATCGTTTCGCTTGACTCGCTGAAGGCTACTCTTGCTGGGCTTCCTCTCGCTCTCCCGCCTTGCGAATACTTTGATCTGCTTGTTGGTACTAGCACCGGTAGGCCTGTTACATACTGCTCCCCTCTGTTCCTGTAATCATAATAACAGAGGGTTATAGGGTCGATTATCGCCGCAGCATTGGGGTTTCTAAGATGGTCCATAGCACGGTGCGAGAAATCCTTCAATGACACAGCAAAGGAAGTGTTTCCAACCTCAGATAGCATGTTTCGATCGATAGAACGCTTACTGCGACTGCTTTGGACCGGCGCTAAGTATCCGAGCGGGACCTTTCACCAAATCCTAAAGAACATCTTCCATAGAGAACCTGATCCCGGTTGCAAGGTAACCCGAGTAGCGATCACCGCGGCGGACTTTAGCGCCGGGCTTCGATTATTCCGTTTTCATAATGCTGTCCCATCCACGAAATCCCGATATCGCCCGATATGGAAGGCGTAAGTTGCGATCAGCACCCGCGTAATTCCCACCTTGTTGCTAACACCGATTAGAATTGCCACTAGTTGTGCCGCTCCTCTCTACTTCAACCCAGTTGGTCGCCTCCAGGATGGGGGTATGGCTGCAAACAACCCCTCCGCCGTTGCTCTCCAGGAGGTGACTCGTTTGTCTATGATTCCCTCCCGTATGCTAGACTTTGCGGCAAGCTTCGGGACGGGCCAGTTTTGCGGCTCGAGTCCGGGCGGGTTGCTCCGTGTGATGAGGCGCTTGTCGCCGGATTGGATACAAAGACTTGGCAAGGGTGTACTTGGCAATCTGGATCCTGCTGTCTTGTATCAGAGGTTTGAGGGGCAGTTGAGCCCGGAGGAGCTATCCAGACACCATCGCATTGACCCTGTCATCACCAGACCCCGGGTCGCTCTGGATGATACAAATGCTATTTCTGACTTACGCAGGCTGAGGACGGGTCATGATTTATATGGAGACTTGCGATTATCCATACTTGCCACGGCATTCTACGCGATAGTCTTAGCCTCGCCATCCTTTGATGCGGAGGCGGGGTGCTACAATGTACGAATTGCCGTGGTTTCAAGGTGGGAGGACGACGACAGCACTCGCTGGAGCCTATACGGATATCTCTGGTCGTCGAGCTTTCTTGTGCAGGGGGTTCAGCGGTACCGCTTTGCGACGTATTTTGAACTTAAGGTCATGGTTCCATGTCTTTCTACGCCTATTGATATTAGTCTGCAAGTTAAAGGAAGTCCCGCCCGCTCTATTAGCGGCTTGCCTCTCTCGGTTGAGCAGCTTTCCTATCTCCAAGGGATTAGCTACAGTAGGGACTGGCCCGTGAGGTGTAAGCGAAAGCGTGAGACGTTCGATACATTTAATCATCACAAGCGACGGTGCCTAGAAAAGGGCCAGGCAGATATTCTGTAGCGGATACGATAAGACTTCCCCTTTCTCATAGTCATGATAATTAAACCTCGCCTTACACGGCCTGGTTGATAACAATGGCCAGGTGACAACTGGCTAGTGAAGTCGCCATGAAATACAACGTGTAGCTCGCCGGGATTCATTTTTAGCGTCTATGATATAGGCACCAATGCCCTTCATACTGTGTATTTAGAAGCGGTATTTATGACATCTCAATTAGAAACAGGGATCGAAGTCTGGTTTGTTCCAATATTTACTACACCCCTTGGCGATGACCAATTCTGGATGGTGTTCAATAAATCACAACTAGACCATACGCCGCGCTTCGCGCGGCGCGGCGTGTAGGTAGTATACATCTTCTATTCTTCCATCTTTCCCCTACTAAATATAAATACATATCTCTACTACGAGCCGATGATCCTCGCTTCGCTTGGGTAAAACCTGGGTTTAGTATTTAAGGAATAGAGGTTAGGTTTAAATCCCTGATTATGTGAATTCCATGGTTTCCATCCTATACGAGGTTTGATTCTTTATGAAATATATAGATAGCAAAATTTATTTCCTTTTTTAAATTATCTCTATATATATATATATATATTCAGTACTGTAATTATTTAATGTTATAATTTTTCATACTATAATGTTTTATAATTTTTATATCCTTGATATTTTACATTCTTTTATAGCTCATTATATATTTTATAATTTGGAGAGCTTTCATATATTTCCTAAAAGAAATCCGTCCCAAAATATAGACTTAACTTTCCGAAGAGAGATTAAGAATACAAAGTGCTATATCTCTTAATATATATAAATACTAATTTCATACATCTTATATTATTATGTTAATAATAATATATATCAAACGTTACTCCATATTGATATCTATATAACTAAAAGGCTTACTGAATTTACTAATTCAATAGTGGAGTATTATTATAATATTATAAGTAAGAATCTTTATATCTTTATATCTTCCATCTTTCTTTTTTTTTCTGCATTTTTGCGTTTTTGTATTTTTTCATCTTTTTGTATTTAATTTAGATATTTTAATATATAATTTTCTATCTATGTCAAACAGTAAGCGAAAAGAGTGATTGGATAAGAGATAGCGCAATATGCATCCACCATACGAGAGAAAGAGAGACGCTAGGACGTATCAGAGGAGACAAACTAGCGAATAAGAAACAGGAAAAAGGAGGGCGGAGAGGTGAAAGCTAATAAACGTGCTTGAATCTGGCAGGATTTATACTGAAGCCCAAGTTACATTATCTCAAGAAGACTCAAGACAAGACAAGGTCTTAAGATATACGTCCTACCCTAGTCTAGGTGTGACCAGCTCTATTGATCGTTGGATTAAAGCTATGTCTATGTGAAGATGAGAAAAAGATATGGATTCGGATGCAATAGATGGAATTGTTCTATCCGTCCTTTTTCTTTTTCTTTTTTCTAGTAAGCGGAAGGGTTAAGTGCCGTAAGTACATCAAGGTCCTCGAACCGCTTAATTGAAAGCGCACTGTACGTTTTAATCAATGGACATGATCCATGGTCACCGCCACCACCTCAATATGCACCTAGTCCCTGTGGGTGATACTAGATAGTAGGTTTTCCCGCTACTATCACTGCCTTCGAGCCGCCTCACACTCGCCAGCGTGGGCGACCCGAGGGCATGGCTATCGTAATACTGCTAAGTCCAGCATAACTTCTCGCTGCTTTTTCGAAAAAGAAAAAAAATAAACAAAATAAACAAAATAAACAAAAACTTTAAAAAAAAATCCCGATAAAAAAAACCTGACTAAAATTGAATAAAGAAAAAAATTTTCTACTTTTCTCGCAGGCCCTAGTAGGCAAGGAAACCGAAAGAAAACTTAGAAACCAGGAAATACATAGAAAAACGAAAATCGGGCAGCCACGGTCACCCATATATAAGAGATGCCCGGACCGGCTCTAGTCTACGCCTACCAGAGCCCCGATAATTTTCACGCTGACCTACATATAACATATGATGATGGAGAGAATTGAACGCACCAAGACAGGAAAGAATACCACTTGCGATGAGAAGGCTCTTGAACCCTTCGCGCGACGCATTTGCGAATTAATTTCTCAACGGAACGAAGACGCTGCTACGCAGGCGGACATTCGAGAAAAGCCATGTCCCGACCTCCCTACAAACCAAACGGATGATTACAAAACCAAAGAACCGACACCAGCACCCGTTCGGACTACGGAAAGAAATCCATTTCCCGGGGATCCGCCCTCGGCCGAAGTCTCACCAGAGAAACTTACTTGGAGTATCCCATACCACACCGAAGTATCTCCAACTCCAACACTACCATACAAAGACACACCGGCGGGAGAAAGCAAGGAGCTATCAGCAGTAAACGATATCCAGCAAAGCTCGGGTACTGGCAAAAGAACGCGTGACAACAGTACCATGAGCCCCGAGGTCGAGATTCGGCCTGCCAAACAGCAGCGAATCAAGGAAGAACCGGTTACGGACAGCGAAGACACTCTCTCATCAGACGACACCGAGGAACTCTTTGATGTTCTCTGCTGAGGCAAAGGTGCTGACACAGAAGAGGGCAATCTGAAGGAGCGTACTGAACGGCAGGAGGGTCATGTATATATAAAAAAGCTAGGGCGAGCACACAGTGGACTGGAAGCCGAGGAGCCCAAAAACACAAACCAAAAACCATTTGAATAGTTCATCTAGGCGAGGCTTTAGAAAATTGTGGAAGACAGGGGGGTGGGGGAGCGGCACGGAATACCGCGATTAGATTGTTTAATGATGCAGTCTTTCACGCTTACTTCTTTTATTTTAAAGTACATACATACCTTACCATTTTTTCTCTTGTGAGCTACTGGTGATACTGATATATAGGTAAATATAAACACTACCCCTCCAATAGTCTAGTTACACTTAATATCTCCCCTGTAAAACTCGATGCTTTTAATTATAGATATTTCAACAAATTTGTATTGTGTAGTCTTTTTATAAAAGTTTTCTAATATTAAATAAATTGCAGAAAATTAAATAATACCTTTTCTCTATATTTTCTTTTTCAAAGAGCTATACGATCAAAGATAAAGTTTTGAAAATCTATTTTCCACAGTATGCAGGAACGCCAACAAAACGTTCGAAAATTTTCGCTTAATTTCGTATCTTTTATTTTATAGAACTACTATTTTAGAAAATATTTCATGTACTATATTAAACAGATCTATTGTTTTATATATATTCCTATATAAATTTAGAGAAATATTAGAACCTTAAAGTTAATCAGTCGGATTTTAAGAGGCTTTACCTAAAACCAAATTGTCTCTTGTATACTATATTTATATTATTAACAAAGAAAGACATATATGGTTTTAATCGTTATATATTATATTTAATGTTTTAGAAAGACGGAATCTATTCTAATGAAGATATTCGAGTTTGAAAATTTCTAACTTAGTCGAAATTTGGAGTGTAACCAGACTTTTGGCACCGTTGTATTAAACCCTCTCCCGAACTCAAGTAATCAACGCAAGGCAACTACATACAAAATAGGATACATCTTTAACTATTATCCTGTATAGTAATCTAGGCCAGAAAATTTGTAATAAGTGCCACTATTTCCTGCGGTACCAATGCGACTCTCGGAATACCCCGAACATATTTTGTCAATATCACGCCCATGCGCTGAAGATCATAGATGAGGTCCGCGGTAAAAAAATACAGAGGCATAGTCTCTCTGGGGTATTGATAGGGACATATCAACGTTTGGCCTATTGGCACATCGTTTTCTGGCATAATCAAATTATCATCATGATCTTTTTTTTTTAATTCTCACTTCAATGATGTTTATAAGATTTATTATTATGTCTGATCTAATATATCTATAATATACACTCTCTCTTTGAATAGTACAGGATAGCTATGGATATATCTTCAATAGGGGCTTATAAAATATAAATATAAGATCCGATGGTGGGAGATACGATAGCCACTCCTCCAGTCTTTTGGATTCATTTTCAGTTGCACGACGTGGTTTTCGAGGCCCTCTCGGTTGGTTAGTGGTTCGTCTAAGAGGAATACTAGGTTGGGATCTGGTTGGTATTTCCAATGTTGGAGAGGTTTCGACATATTCAGCCTGTGGAATGCACATCAAATGCGGAGAGCCACGGCGCGTCGCTCGTGTAGGAGCCCAGAGGGTCCTTCAAGGTCTCTGGGCAAAGCAGTCGACGGTAACTGCCGCTGCACATTCAAAGAACTGAAATATGTGCGCGCCCACCAGACTAGGAACTGCCACTGCATCCATGCAGCGAGGAGGGCTCTGAAGAGCGTGTTTCCTGTTGTCGAGCGAAGTTCCACGAGAAGTGCCGTCATGCCTTGCACATGACAATAGAATCGTTCGAAGTTACCCATGGAAGCTTCGATATAGCCAAAGAGGACCAGGGTGGTTAGGGCCAGTATGACGTTATTTTGGTAGTCGTCTTGAGCGAGTGAAGTGATTTTCTTAATTGCCGAAGAATAATATTGTTGACCCCTCGTTTGGTGGATCAGGCTTGGACTGAATGATCCCATGGTCGCCAAGGATGCCGAGGACTTTCTTTCGTGGTTGATCCGGTTGATATTACATGATGATAAAGCGAGGATGGCATCTTTTACCACAGGAAGTCCAAGTTGCTCAGAGGTGGAACGGAATATCGGATGTAGAGCTGGTAAGTGATCTTCCCAGTAAGTCGAGTAGAAGACATCTCGATCGGTATGCTGCAGCGAGCGAATTAAGTTGATATCTGGAAGTTTTGGACTCGAGTCGTGTCCGTTGAAGAGCTGTACCTCCGAGCAACTTGGTTCGGACAAGGATGGCCCCCTCCTACGGCTTGTCTTTGTTGGAAGAGCAGTCACCACTTGGAACTTCAAGGGCGGCTTGACACTCTCGCAGACTCTCCCTAGCCTAGCATAATTCCCACATATTGCCCTTTTCTCATTGCACTTGGTCCTCGATGTTAGTCTGGTTCTGGCGGTTCCCCGAATGCGCCATACCTTGGTGCGCCGTTCGCGACAGCTTTTGCCGCCATTGCGCGAGCGGAAAATGCCTGTTTTCTTGGGCCTAGGTGGAGCAGGTTTGTATATTTGATGCTATTAATCACCTGGTCCAGCGATTGTTTGGTGATTGAAAAGATTCCGGTCGTTTCTAGCCTTGGAGGCGTGGGAGGTGGAGGTGGATGACTTAGTGGAAGAGTGCACCGTGAACGCCTCGAGCCACAAACTTCAACTATGTTCTTTGACCAGCATACACAGCTTGGTGTTCGAACATTTTCTGTCCTTGCTCATGAAATGTAATAGACATATTACTGATTAATAAATAGTTGACTAAAAGGATACGATCCACCCAAGGTCTACAAATATACCTCAGGTCGACGACTACAAGAGAGAATAAGACACCAGAGATAAGAATTACAAGTAGATGAATTTTGAGCTCTAAGTGAGCTCGATCTGATCCCTGCACCCCGCCCCTCTCCCCAACAAACTCCCACACACCCGAAACACCCGAGCGAAAGGAACCACAATCAAGCCTTGTCAGTGCCCGAATCCTTCTCTAGGTCGGCACGCACCATCCTCTCGACGACCTCCATGCCGGCCTCCTCGTTCTTGGCACCGCCCGCGTCGTCACTCGCAACCGCCTGAACCAGAGCCAGCTTCGTCTGTCTGAGGGCATAAATCTGCTCCTCGATGGTGTCATAGGTGACGAAGCGGAAGATCTCAATGTTGCGGGTTTGACTGACGCGGTGGGCCCGGTTCTCGGCCTGGACATCCTCCTGGGGGTTGAAGGAGGAGTCGAAAATGACAACCTTATTAGCGCAGGCGAGATTGATGCTAGCGCCGCCGGCCTTGGTCGAGAGCAGGAAGACGGGGATATCCTCTCGCTCGTAGAAGGCGTCGAGGATGGACTGGCGGTCTTCGACGCTGGTGCGACCATCCAGACGCACGAAATCGATCTGCAGCGTCTCTAGCACGTTCTCGAGGATATCCATCACCATCGTGAACTGCGAGAAGATCAGCGTGAGGTCCTCGTTTGCGATAAATCGCGTGAGCAAGGCCCGCAGTTGGTCCACTTTGCCCGAGTCCATCCACTCCTCGTTCTTCAGCTTGAACTTGCCGAGCGATCCCGGGTTGTCAAGGCACATATAGTGGCATTCGAAGTCATTGTACGGCAGCAGCTCCTCGAAGATAATGTTAGGGTTCGACAGGGGCCACTTGTCTTCTTTCAGACAAGCGTTGGCCATCTTGCACAAGGTAGTGTCGTCGTAGTGTCGATGCGCGAGGAGTGGGTGAAACGCTGCTTGTCGGAGGTTCATAAGAATGTTGGATGACTTTGATCCGGTCTTCTTGCCGGCCGCACGGTCCTCCAGAAGCTGCCGCACTTGTTCCTTTTCGTGCTCATAGATACCTCGCTGCGATGGCTTCATCTCGCAGTATTGAACGTGGCAGTGCTTGGCCGAAATATCGATCACCCGGTGCTTCTTACGTCGCAGAACAAATGGCTTTAGCATGGACTTGCCACGCTCGATACGCTGCGCCGATAGCAGGGTCGTATGCGACTCATCCGTCGTCTTTGCTTTGTTCGCGAACACGGCATTCAACTCTTCCTTATGCTAATGGAACACGCCGGGCAAAATAAACCCAAGAAGAGAAGCCAGCTCTTGCAGGTTGTTCTGTAGTGGCGTTCCGGTAAGGAGAAGCCGGAAACGTGCCTTGTTGCGGATGAGCTTTTCGTACAGCTGTGACTGATGGTTCTTGAGTATGTGGCCCTCGTCGTAGACACACACGCAAAAGTTCATGTCTCTTAGAAACTTCGCGTCGGTCTTGGCCTTGGCAATCGTGTAAGTAGTAATCACGACGTTAATGCTGTCGCGGTTATCTTTAATCTGCTCGTGGATTTCGGCGCGCTCGTTCAGACCAGCGTAGTATGGCATGACTGAAAGCTTCGGGCAGAATTTCTGGAATTCGCGAAGCCAGTTCTCGATGGTTGATCAAGGCGCCACCAGATGAGGACCCTTCACTCCGATTTCAAACAGATGTGCAAGGAATGCGATGACTTGGCAAGTCTTGCCGAGACCCATGTCGTCCGCCAGGATGCAACGCAGTTCCTTCTCGAACAGGAGTGCCAACCAGTTGATTCCTACAATTTGATAGTCTTTCATCTCCAGATCATCTGCCATGATGGATGGCTGTGAGATGAGACGAGATTTGCGCGCCGCCGGGACCAGCTGATCATTGTCGTCGGAGTCCACAGAGAATCGGTTCGAAGAAGGCGTGGCGATCCCAGAATCGTGCGACTTAGTGGGATCGATCGATGTGAGTTCCAGCTCGCCCTCACGCTTCCCGAAGAGGTCGATGCCCCATTTCTTCATTTCCATGCCGACAGGCCGGCCAAGCGCCTCGCATTCCGCCACCAGAGTGTCAATGGCCAGGTATCCAATCCACATGTCGATGCATTTGTCAACAATTTTATCTCCGATAGGCTTGGGAGGCTTGCGTCCCTTGCCCTTGCCCTTGGGCTTGGCATCGTCCTTGACTGGTGCACTGATGGTGCGCACATCATCCATTGTTGAATAGGGTCGTTGCGAGATGATCACGTTGGCGGTTTCCTCGGGGATCGCAGCAATATCAGCGAGATCGCGAGCATGGCAAGTGTTGAAAAAATATGAGAACCTTGCGATCCAAGTCGCTAGCGCCAGAACCCCCCACTTGGACATCTGGATCATCCGAATAACTCATGACCGCTTCAGGAGATTCCGAGCGCGGGGGCGACAGCTGCGTGAGCTAACGTATAGGAGCCGAGAGAGACCACTACAATTTGGTCACGCGTTTCACATGATTATTTTCTCACATCGAAGAGATTATATTGCTTCTAGAAATATAGAATTTTAGAAATAAACAAAAATCAAAATCAAAAAAGTAGATTCATAATCTAATATATATATTTCTTTTCTCAATAAAGGCTTTAATTGCTTGAAATAGAAGTTAAGAATATCATGTGATAAGTATTGTGGTTGAAAAACTGTCATGTGATTAGAAAAGAAATAAGTAATTAATTACACAAGTCAAAAAGGGTACCTAATTACTGTCCCTATCAATACCCAGGCCCTGTCAACAATGGAATATCGAGGGCACTCCTTTTCACCCCTTCATGTAGGCGTAAGTCGTCTCCTGTTAAAGCTAAGCGTCCTGTACTTCTTTTCAAGGTAAGAAGGGATATAGGAGATATACCCGATGAATAGAGGCGATCCTAGTCGGCGTGCTGACTAGCAATTATATCGGGACGTGGGGCTATCTTCTCACTTATTGTTATAATTCCCACCCAACTGCCCTCCGGAAAAAAGCCCAGTCGACTCCCGAGTAGAGTAGGTTGGATTCCGATCGCTCTCGATGGGCGGTTCTTTTTTTTTGTTCTGTCTACTTTGTGTTTTGGTTTTTTTGCGCTTCAAAAAGCGCCATGCTAAGTTTCGTATAACACAGCATGCAAAGCAACACATTTAGTTTTAGTTTGTTTTTTTCTACTCGTTAAGCCGAGTGTCACCGTTTGAGTCGAGCTTATTGATAAGAAACGAATGATATATGTAAAAAGTCAGACTAGGACTCCCCATCATCCAGCGCTATTCTCGGCGATGACTACTATTTTTGAATGGCACTAAACCCAACCCCCCCCCCCCCCCCCCCCCTTTTTTTTTACTCAATACCTGCAAGGCAAATAATAGATTTTTTATTGCACAGATGATTCTTTTCCAAGTTGTTATATTGCTCATTTCTGTCAACTAGAAACCTATTTCATCCGGATCATCTACAATGTTTCCTTTCATCCCCTTTTGCTTCGTTTATTCCTATCTCTTTCTTACATGCATCTCCCTCCTCTTACTCCAATACAGTACCGTCCTTTCCACTGTTTGATACTGGTTTCTCTAAACCGATCATTCCTTTACGTTCTCGTTATTTCTTGAAATCGTCATGGCCCATGCACGCGTTGAACTTGAGCATAGTAATAGAGCTGCAGTGTTTCTGTATGCTTTTTCAAGGAAAATGACCTACGTATCACTTCTCCTCCTTGTAGGTCGTATCTAGCTAACTTTTACTAAAAAAGAAGTAGATATAAAACAGTGAGATTGTAGAGACCCAGCAGGGAAGCATGTATATACCTCTGCTACGGATAGTGGGTAGATATCTCATGCCTTATGCTATAGTAAGGGTTGAAAGATAATATTATTAATTTACAACGCTAGAATAGAAATCCTCGTGGACGCGAAGCCTTTTCATCTGCTCGGCCAGGAATTTTCGATCCTAGTTTGGCCATACTGTACAGTCTCAAGTCTACATACACAATTTTATCCATAGCCCTTTGAACCTCTCTGTATGTACCTTATTAGTGTATAGGGTCCATATATTTGAAACTCCTTAAAACTGCCCAAACGTATCTTTTCTTACTATCCCCTTAGCTGATAAGCATGAAAATCCTCTTCACGGAATTTGGTGACTCTGCGGAACCTCAATGGACATCAACCTCATTGTGTCTTACGAACCTACTAAACTATCATGTTATACGAAGAGAGCGGTTGAACTGTATAGCCCCACATATCAAGAGGATGGACACAGATTTAGGCTGCTCATCCCTTTGGCTTTACAGTGATTGCATATGAAAGCAGCAGGTGCCACACTGACTCGGAATGGGGAATAATACAGCATACTTCCTTAGCACAAAGCTTTCGTCGCTTTCGACCCACAGAGGTCTAGCTATTCGCGGAAGATAGGGCTCGTAGAGTAAATATACACTAAAGGCAACATCAATGGCTACAAAGCATCCACTAGAGCTGCGCGCTGCGGGCCTTCAGCGAACTGTGTTTCAATCAAAAGATATCTGGCTATTACAGGCCCGCCTAGCTCCAGCAGTACACCCTGGGCCGGCTAACAGTCCAACCCTTTTGCTACTGTCCTTGATTCAGCGTAGGGGGCACCTACGCTCTGCGTCAGCGTGAAAATGTGGTCAGCGCCGCAGCGCAGCCGACTGTAGCTGAGCAAATAGGTGGTGGTCCCTGGTTGCTAGACGGAGGCTGGGTAACATTGATAAAGTGCTCTGTCCACGACCTCCTCACGAGCTCGGCCTAACTGCCGTTATCAAGGCCCGCTCGCCGCTCCGTCCCGTTACTCGCTCGCTTTACCCTGCGCGTCGCTGACACTAGAGAGGTATCGGTATTGGAGCCATGGCCAGCAAAGGAAGGCCGCGCCGCTGGGGCTTCTTGAGAGAAGACCGGTGAGGAGAGTTCTGGGCTCTTGGCCTTCGAACAGTGTTGAGATGCGGGCTTAGTGTCGTGGTCGACAAACCGTTAAATGGCCCACGACGGCACGTTCAGGGCCACAAAGATGGAGGGACAGGAGTTGTTTTTCGGGCCTTTGGGGCGACTGTTGACGGGACATATCGTAGACATGATAGATTGCGGTCGAGAGTAACGTTGAGTGGAGGTATGGACTGCTTTGAGGGTAGTTGGGAGAAGAAAGAAGGTGGGGTGAACAGAGGAAGGAAACGGGGGCGGAGAGCGGGCAGAAAAAAGGACTATAGATCGCATCTTACCAAGCTCGTTAAATAATAACGTTGATAAAGGTGAGGCAGCAAGGGTAAGTAAGGACGGGACTATACCCTACGCGTGGCCTTGGACCTTTTAGTGCAGAGGCCCAGTGCGGAGGTACCAGGCTTCATATTTCCCCGCCCCGCATGCCCCGATATTGAGCAGGGAAAGAAATGGCCTCCCTGATATAAATTTATCTTGTGTTTTAGTGAATTATCTACGGTCTAGATATGCTATTCGACTCTTATTCCGCCTGGGGATGTGAACTGTGCCGGACTTCCCCTAATGCACTCGACCCGGACTCAAATACGCAGCGTTCCCAAACCATCCTTTGGCGCTCCTGGTGGATCCTCTATATTGTATCATAAGGCGGCCTTCAAATTGTCTCTTTTATATCTATAGGTCACCCTAGTCGAAAAACAAGTCATCGTTAACCAAGCGATTGCTCGAATGTATTTAAGACCAAAAGTTTTCTTACTGATTGTATTGAGGAAAGAATTTTAGGCTCTACTGTATGAAGTGACCTCAATTTAGGGTTACATAGTGAGATGCTAAGCAACTCTTTCGAACCATCTAAGTATTATGTTTCTCAAACAACAGCGTTCTCACGTCGATACAGACCCAGATCTTTGATCTCTAAATCCACCACTCATCTCCAAGCAGTGGTATACTAGGCGGAGGACATAGAGAAAGAAACCGCCATTTGCTCACGGAATCCAAGTCACCAATACTGAGCTGGTCTGTACGAAACACCCCCGGGTAAACCAAACGTTTGGCTTTATGAAACACTCTCTGGGTAAGTGATGGCTGACATACCCGAAAGTACTCTACCAACCAATCCTTTAAGAGATCACGGGGTTGAGATGAATTCCTTGCCCAGCGGAGAATCGATTGATGAGAAAGCGCGTATGACGGACTGGTCTGGACTAGCAGATGTAGGAAAATTCGAGCTTGAGGATATGCAGCCATGGCAAGAAGGAAGGGCTTGTGTGGGATCTGAGGCTCATAGGAAAAATGAGTTGGTGGGGAGTTGTAGGCCTGCTGAAGATCCAAAAGGTACCGAAACAGTCTCTCTCTTCTCTCGTTGATAGCTCTGGTGATTCCGTTCAGGCATGCCTCGCCAGAGAACGTAGGACCGCGTTTCCGTTGCAGGGACGCCCACTCGCCGCTATCACCCGATAAGAACCTTTTTCCAATAGCGCGGCGAAGCAAGATCACAATTTCAATAGACTCCTCCGTCCAGGGGCCCTCGAGTAGGGCATCTGGGATGGATAGAACCCTCACAGTGCGGATTATGTGCGACGCCCCTTGGTGGGTGGATTGATATGATGCTTTGATTATAAAGCTATCTTGCACCGCAAAGTACTTTGCAAAAGGGTCATATATCATGCATAAGTCGGTATTATCCAGAAATGCGGCGCGTAACCCGTTCCCGACTTGGGCATGGCTCGTGTTGAAGTGTAGACAGGCGGGTTGGAATAGGAACTGCCGGCTAAGGGCGTTGAGTGTCAACCCTGGGAAGGTCTCCAGAATTTTCCTGAACCGGGATACCGTGAACCATCGGCAAGTCACAACCTTGGATTGTAGTCTGGCCTGCTCTTTAGGTGGTAACGGTCTATAGAATGTAGGTCTGAAAATAGCGGTAAAGAAATCAAGATCCATATAATCCATCATGTTTGGTGTTGTATCTCTAAGGATTGACTCTCGGTGAAAATGCCGGTTTCGAATACATTGCTGGGGATCGTTCCAGTAGGCCTGGATCACAAAGATTCGGTATATAATTTCCCTGGACACTGCCGCGGCCACTCTGGCAGAGCAGCGAGGGAAGTTCACTTCGAGTGCTTCCAGGTGGATTCTCTCGAGGATTTCATTTGGTAGACATTCCAGAGTACCTGGCGCCATTGGTGCAACTGAAATGTATAGGACTTAGCTCTCTATGCTGTCGGTAATTCAAGGACCCTCCTTGTAAACGTCGTAGAGGTCTACAGTCGCAGATTTATATTCTATCCGTACCAAAAAGCTGCAATGACTAATATTACTCAAGCCATTGAAATTACCGGAGTTAAAATTAAATTAAAATCAGTAAAGACATTGAATATTTTGATAGAGATCCACAATGACCACCCAGATTTTTAGGTGCATCTTTATAATATATTCCTTGTACCTGAGGGCGCTGCCTCACCTCCCGCACATCTCGTCTCACCCCTGCTATAGGTTTTGCCCCAAAAGATATCTATCAAAATCATTCCACGACGTACTGTGCCCATCGCTATTGGATAAAGATATGAGTTTTTCGTTACTAACGCTGTTAGAGGATCTCCGGCATTGACCCCAGCGCAGGACTCACATATCATCCATTCGCATAGTAACTGCTTTAAATTCTGCCATCACAGTATCCAGTTTATTAGCTAGATTGGCGATATCTTCGGATTTTTGTGGTGCATTTTTTTCGCGTATCATGCTCTCAAGGGCTACTAGGCGTTTCTCAAGGCCTTCAATCCGGGAGATCTCCGATATCCTACTCGGAGCAGCTCTAGTGCCTTCCGGCTGATTATGACGCTGCTGACCGGGCTGTTCAACCTTGGCCTTTTTGTATAGCAATGCGGGTATGATATCCTCGGCACGCTTTCGTTTGGCTGGTAGTTGCTGTGGTGGTTGAGTTGGCTTGTAGTATGAAGAACGGGTTAAAGACGGAGGAAGCCTGGGCAGGGCTGTAGTGCGACTGAGGGTGGAAGTACTTGAAAAGTTTGGGCGGGGCAGTGATCCGGGATTCATCGTAGACCATGCAAAAAGGGCTTTGCAATCCCCCTTTGGCTCTATATATATCCCCTTTAATACTCTGTCACTACTGATCTCCTCGCTGGGGTTGTATGCTTAAAATAGAAACACAGACTTGAAGTTCGTATTATTAGGGCTGCATTTAAGCACATTATGCAATGGCATGGATTTATACCAGACGCGCCATTTTCGGCAACCCCCTCTCACGCCGGGACTACCTTTGTTCCCACCTATCCGCCCGGATCAAAAGCTCTTCCTGAGGTAATAAAATGGAAAATGGCCCGGTCTATTTATGGTTTCTGGCTCGTTCATTTGAGTATCTATTTTCTTTACTTCCTGGGCTCTCTTCATCCCAACCTACGATGACTAGAGACTTTGGTCCCTTCTGTTTTACTTTCGCCTCGTTCCTGGCCGTAGCAGACGCGTGACTCCTGCTGGCGGTTTCTAAGCTGCAATTGTTCCTTACAGTAGCCCTATGGAGCAAGTGAGTTCTTTTTCATATAAACCGGAGGTTATGCAGTAGAAAAAAGAATTTTATATGATAACATCGATTGTTTGAGACCTCTTCATCGTGAAATAAGATTGGAATAGACATTGGAGGCACTGTTTCAACCCAAGCCAGCAAATAGCTTATTACAACGTTGATTCCCGAGAAAAAAGTGCCAATAAAACCATGATACATGCGTGAGTGAATACTCTCTAAAAAACCTCTTATCCGACTTTGACCACCCTGCCCAAGCACCCCCAAATCCGGAGAGACGAATGAATCTATTTATAAGATCAACGGGACCCTCTTCCTCATGTTCTTTTTTTCCCCTCTGGGCGGCACTTGAAGGGAGGTTCGATGAAGTATACCTAGCTACCTAGGTAGTTGGTACGTCAAGTATTGTATCTATTTTAGGGCCGCTTTAGATTGACGTGACGAAATTTTGCCTAGTATAGCCTGTTTTGGGGTACAAGCTATAAAATATCTTCGCGGTGTTGATATTAAGTAGCTAAATAAAACAAAAAAAGGGCTAAGTGAAAAGACCTCAAATTATCTACATGTACTCAAATCTAATACCTCCGAAAATCGGCACTTTTGGCTAGTAGGGTAATATCGTGTAATCCCGGACATGTATTTATATAGACATACGTTACATACAACATGCCTGTCATGAGACATGTATGCTGTATTACGTATGCCGACCCACACGCCTCCACTATATCTTACGTATGTAAACACAGTATGTTCTATTACAATACCATAAATACCATCAGTAGATCTATAAAGCAACTCTTGATCCTGTAAAGGCACTATATACCTTTTATTAATCGCTCACAACAAAGCGAGGCTCTGCAGGTTGTCGAGAATAGATAGAAGGACTAGGATCTAACCTTGGAGCATGGCATGGTGACACCTGTCTAATTGGAGGCAGCTTAGGCTTATCCCTTTTTTTCCCTTTGCCTTAAGCCAAATACACAAGCCAATGAAAAGTATGCCCCCGGTCGCCGCCGCTCCGGAAACAATCCCAATGCTTCGCCCGCTCATTGACTGAGACTCTGCTGAGCCATCGGCGGCAACGCTCGAATTTGATGGGGTCGCTGGTGCGCTTCGTGTTCCACTTGTCGATTGACCGATGGTATCAGATGCTTCGAACGAGACTGGTTTGGATCTGTGGGGTGGGTTGATACTGCCTTGCACGACGTCCGGGTCACCCATGGTTTTCATTCCCGGTATATTTTCACTGTTTAACCATAATGAGTGTGAAACAAAATCGAGAAAGGAAGGCAGGAAAGGAAAAGTGTGGGAACTGAGGCCATTTACCTGCTCGATCCGTCTATACCCGTCTTCTGACCCGTGGTAATTTTGTATATCGCTGCATCGTGGGCCGATGTATTAGGTCCAAAGCTCTGGGAATTTAAGACAATCAACCGGGGACTTTCCACTGGAGTGGTGCGAAGTGCGGATAAGTGGGTTGGCGAGAGAAGGTATATAGTAGGCCGAGAAGAGCCAGGAGCCACCCCTTTGTTTAAAGTAGGGTCGACGCTCTGACTTCCCGAGAACGAATCTGTCCTTAGCGATGGAAGGCTCTTTCAATAGTAATATTAGTATTTCCTGCACAAGAGATCGGCCACTTCCTCGCACACACGCACCTCAGTCGAGGAGCCCTTCAGGCCACTCTGTCGCCGTCGAGGTGTCATTTCACTGGCCCCTGGTGTCCACGCCGAGAGAGAAGATCGGTCAATACTTGTAGTAGTGGCCGTTGCCGGTAGCAAGGGCTGGTTCTGGGTATTCCAATCACTTCTACATGTATCGCAGTTTGACGGGGGCTGGACATGCGTCGATCGCGAACGATCATAGGATGCAGTGATGCTTTCCGTCAAGGCTAGGTCCTTTGAATAGCCCTGGTGGGATGATATCCATTTGACGTGCGATTGAACTGGGTGGTATAGAGTAGCGTGCGCTGATCTTGTGGTTGCTGTCGATGGTAGTTGGGAAAAGGAGGTGGTGAGTGGCTGGAAGAATGAGAGTCTGGCTTCTTCGTGTATGCCCAAGGGCTAACTAGGAACCTACCTCATGGCCTAATGTGGACTCGATACTCGCGACCTGAGGACGCTCGCGCCATGACTTTGTTGAGGGAGTGCGAGCCGCATGGTAGGATTCAGTGAAGGAAGAGGTCGAGGATTGCTGCATGGCCTGAGGCCGAATAAACGTGGAATCCATAGAACGATCACCCATATAAAACCAGAACCAATCTAAATACAGTCGGACTGTCTTATTATGGGAAGAATCCCGCATCATATACCGGGTGACTTGGAAGGGGTATGAATTTCTATTTTTATCTCCGTTCATTCTAGCTGGCGACCTAGCAAATCCGGGTAAGGTCTCCCTATAGTCGACTGTCTAGTTGCTAACTATACGCAGCACCTTCCATAATCATCAAACTCTCCAGTGCTATAGGCGGCTATAGTCTATTGGTCGGGATCAATCACTGAATCCACCACTATATGAGATGGCGCTACTGTGACCATGCCTGGGAATTCTTCACTCCGAGGAACAGATATAAACCGCACATCTAGCCCCAATTTGGTTGAGTCTGCATACCCGAGGTAGGCTTAAGTGTGCTCCAATCGAATGGCACTCTCCGAGATGACTGTGATTATTCGCGATCTATAGAGGCCGCCCTAGTCTTGATAATTCTAGAAGGGGAATTTACGGATGAGAGGCGGATAGACACCGATGATCTGTGAGGCAGGTCCACTAATTTTACAGTAGCTAAACGACCGGGGTTGTCACTTGTTCGAGTCCTCGTTAGCTCGACACTTCAGTGCAACTGCCTCCGCCCACGCTTCGCGAGGGAAATGGTTTAAAATATCCCACCCCCCCCCTTCTTCCTGCTCCTCTCTATCCTCTTTCGACCTTCTCTGCACCGGCAAGCTTTACTGCGCCATGAATTCCCTACTCGTATCCCAAGAGGCCCCCCCTCACTGGTCAGCACGCCCGCCTATTGCGGAGTCCAATCGAAAGATACAGGAATACAGCAGAAATTCAAGGGCCACCGGACCGATAGGCGCGCCCCATCAAATCACCCACTACGATACTGGATATTTGGAGCAAGCGATGCCATATTCGATCAATCACCATTCGAGCCTGCCGGCGGTGGCAGCGCGGGATGATTACTCCTGGCAGCTCTCACCCAACCCAAACAAGCCGTGGCAATATAGCCTGACGAGTCGGTTACGCCCGGGCACTGTCCTCCAAGCTTATATCCACACACCTGGGGTAGGTAAATCCCATCATGGATCCGGGGTATATTGCTCAACCTGGTCGGTAGCATTTCCTTCAAGCCACGCAATCCACGTCATTTCAACCGTGGTGCGGGCCCGATATTCTCTGCCCGGGGGCCCAGGCGAGCGACTTCTTTCTCTACACAAAAGAGCGGCTAGGGCTTGCCCAGATCGGATGGCTGGAGCTCGACATCACTATGTACAGCTCTAGGGATCAACTAATGAAGCTGGCGTGGCACAAGAGGGCATTTTTGTGTGAATGGAATGAAGCGTTGCCCACGCACCAAAGTCTGGCTAGCATCCGAACTGAACTCTACGAGCCGGGCCTGCTCCCGGAATATCCGTTCATCCGGGTTATCGTCCGGGCTCGCAATGACCTCCACCGTGGACAAGATCACCAAAGGAATGAATAGGTCGTGCGGCGGTGAATTTGATGGTGTCGGATTAGTGGTCTCTCCGCTCCGCTCTGTGTGGTTTTTCAGGCCGCGAGTCACGGGTTTTGGTGCAGGGCTCGCATCCATTCATTATGTAGACTTAGCATCATCTTCTTACCAATGTTATGATGTCTGCTTTGTCCGAGTCGGTTTTTCTCTGCCTCAATCTCACTGTCTTACTGCCAGAGGTCTCTAGTACTCAATTCGCCTTTTTTGATATGGGACTCTTTTCTCTTTAGTATGGTGGCGAGGCACTAAGTGGCTGCGAAGCCTACTGCTTTCTCTTTCGTCGATCTACCTGCTGTTTCTCTCGCTCGCTACGGTCCGCAATTCTGCGAATAGTATCTCGTATCTCGTATATATAAAGGTCCTATTTTTGGAAGCTACCGACGCGATGTAGTAGTTTTTTCTAGGTTAAATCTGGTGTAGATATTTTACTAAATCGGTTTAGTTTTACGATAGCGAAGCGATATACCTACTGTAGTTCTTCAAAATATATTGGAACGTGCTATCCGCAGCGGTTCGCTTTAAAATCTGGTTCGCACACTGTTTACCTATACGAATTATAGACAGAATTTATAAAGAATTGAACTATCGAATCTAGTGAATAAGTACTCTCTCTTACGAATTATTCAATGATTTATTGGTTGAGGGACGAAAGGATGGACATTTACGACCGTAGAAGCGAGCATATAGTCGGCAACGAGGAACATCGAATTTACGCGCCAAAGCAGAGAAAGTTTTTTTTTTCGCGTTTACTAGCTTCGCAGGCATTAGTAATTCGCTTTTCGATATTTTTGTACGATTCAGACATGATAAATAGAGGCAAAAAGTAGATCGAAATAAAGGATGTGTGTTGAGACGAGAATGTATGTTGAGCGGTGGGTCTGCCTATAGGGGGAGGCTAATGATTTTTATTGTATTTGGAATGCGATAACAAAAAGAGAAGCCTGCTATATAATTACCTTTATAATAGTATCGAGCTGCTATACAAAGGTCAAAAATGGCTAGTTGGGGACGCCTACCTCGATTCATGTATACAGTACTGTATAAAAGAAAACAATTAATTACCTTTATGTTACTGTAGTACATGTATATATTCACCTGCCTTACAGTACGAGGGTAAATACTTACTATAACTCGATAAAAGCAAGGGGGGGGAACTGCTTGCCCACCCTAATCCTTTTTAGATTTTCTACTATCCATACTTAATAAATATCAAAAGTGTGACAGTAGAATTTAGACCTATGTAACTATTAACTATCTAATAGAGGTAAGCGGTAGCTAAAGCGGTGAAATAATATATCGGCTGAGTAATGGATTTTAGCAGAGGTTGGCCACTATCTACTATCGCAGCTGGAGGGCTCTGCGCATTGCATCATAGTCCGGCTTATCCGAGAATGACAACGAAAATGCGAGCCGAAAGAATTCTCGCAGCCCCGGAGGCAATGGCCACAGAAGGAAAAAATTTGGATTGCTGGACGCCACGCGTTTCATTTGGTAGGTCACGTGGAACATCTCCTGGGTCGTCCGAGCCCGAACGTCCTGCCATGGTAGAGAGCCATAACAGGAGAGCCAGGCAAGCATGTATCCTAACGACTGCATATCGTCCCGGCGCGAAAGACTCAGGGCCCTGTGGCGATCCAAACTCGCAAAGCAGGATGTCCCCCCTCTGTCGAAGAGGGGCACTTGTGGATAATGGTGTAGGGATTCTGGGTCACGATAAAAAGATGCTAAGCCATAGTCAAGGAGATAGAGCCAGCCATTGCCCTTGGCCCCAATCACCACATTCGCCGGCCCGATGTCTCCGTGAACCAGTGATTTGCTGTGCAAAGACTCCAGGACCGAAACCAAATCATATCCTACCTTCAGAACTCCTCGGTGGGAAAAGATCCGGCGCGCCTCGAAGATTCTGCTTAGACGAATGCCTTGATATTCTATCACCAGAGGGTTCCGTCGATAATACTCGGCGGTGTGCTGGAGAGGGGTAATCTTCTGGTTTACCCCCTGGACCTGGTACATGGCCTGCCTTCTGAAGATAGATTCCCGATGTTCTTGATGAAGCACAGGCAGGAGATCTTCTCCCGTCCGCGTATTCAGCCCTGCCTACATTAGATCCATCTTTACCTCGGTGAGCATCGGGCCTTCTCTCCTACCACTCAGAATCGTGCCGCGGGTGTCGTCCGCATCGTAGACTTCCTTCATGTAGAGCTTCACTAGTCGAGGAGTGAGTAAGGGTCCCCCGGGGTATACCTCAGCCTTTCACTTACCTCCCGTGCCAGAGGGCCGTTGACTGTATAATAGATGCGGAAAGCGGGCCACAGCCGTAGCAGGAAATGATAGGAATTGAAGTGACGGCCGTGAATGGGGTTAAAACCCTCTTATATATAGGCCGTTAGCAATAATACTCGGGAAAGGCGGTAGTGAAAGAAAAGCACACACACACACACACCTACTACACAATAATCCCCACTTACTACCCTTTTCTTGAATCCACCCCACGTAAGTCTGTTTGACGACTGAGATGCCTGATGCGCGACGGTGGTACCGAATTGGCTCCCATGGATTCGACAGTTCTAAACTTAGAAAAGCGTTTATACAGCTTAAAGAAAATTATGCTGACAATGATACAAGGTCGCTGTAGAACGAGTCTAGTAATGAAGCTAAGTGCCTATAAGTATTGGGTCTGAGGTTGATCCGTGAAAGACGAATAATATCATAATCCAAGAAAAATATAAGAAAACGAAGGGAAGCAAGTCTAAAATGGTTCCGTCATAGTGAGCAATGACTATATACCTGAGAGCATACGGAAATACCCATATATCCGCTTCTTTATGCTTTATCTCCTCTCGGTGGGATTGATTCTTCATTCCTGTCTTCTTTTATATACTAATCGGTAGAAAGAAACTTCCTGTTACTAGGAGGTAAATACAAACTATTTACATGTTGATCTACAATTGAGGGTACTGCCTCCTGCTCCCCGATCCTAAGCTCGAGCTGAGGGGTACATAATGTAGTAGGGGTGTTTAGGAAAACCTGATTTGTAGGTCTGGGTGTTTTGGGAATATCCAAGAGTTTATTGGCACACAGGTGATGCAAAAAGCCGCAGTAACAACAGATCAGTCTACAGGCCATTGCTGAAGTAAATATGGTAGACAAAAACATAAGCCATACCCCAACTATGTCACTACCAATGGGATTACTATATCTTATTGGGTAGCCTATCATAAACAACCTGGTCTTGGTACGAGCCTTGCGATCATGGCAAGAGATAGAGCAGGAAGAAATGGGTGGGAATAAAATAATAAATTAAATAATAAATTAAAATAGGAATTAAAGTAGGAATTAAAAATTGGGAGGAAAAATTGGGGGGGACGGGAAAAGGGAAAAAAAGAAGTGGGAAAGAGTGAGGGGGAAGTCTTACGGAATGCCAACTCGATATCTATTCATATCACCCACCGGGAACCCAGAGCCTAGTCGAGAGGTTAGCGACCGAGGTCTATAATTAGCCGCCTCCGGGGTCGCTATATAGCCTCTCTTCCCTCAAGCCTCTTGATATCAAAATGCTAGCAAATCAGGCTCACCATGCGATCCTGGAAATGTGCCGTGTCCGTAGTCATGAGTCTGCTCAGTGCCCCGGGAGTCATCGGGGCAACCGAGCCGGAGCGACTGGTGCCCCTGGCCAGGGGTGGCTCTTTGGAGTTCATTCCCGTCAGGCCGATCGCTACTACAAAATACGCGGCAAGTTTTAATCTCTCCGAATCCTCTAAACCAGTCTCACTAGGGGATCTCGAAGTTCCGTCCTGCCCGCCGGGCCAGCGGCCCGCTCTTCGGTTGACCTTTAACGCGACGATTCCTTCGGGAACAGGGGCCCTCACACTACACCCGAGCAATGGCCAATCGGATCTGAACTACCTTCTAGACATCCAAACATCCACCAAGTTGAACACCCGGGGTGTTAAAGATCAGAACACCATTTCCGCGTATTGTAATGATTACAACGATACCTTGCCCGCGCAGTCATCTGATCCGCCCTCCGATTCATCCAGTATGCCCCCCCCTCAACTGTGATAACATGGACAGCGCGCTAACAAACTCGAGCCCCTCTAGTGTCGTCGACCCTCGGCCAACCTTCCCCTACCCTGCCATCACTGAGCACAGGTGCGTCCGTTTCCTCCACGGAGCAAGCGATAACATCATCTTCTAGTCAGACCCCTACCTCTTCCTCCCGTCGCGCTTGCCCGTCGAGCCCGGCCATGCAGCCCTCGCAGACGATGCAAACGCCTTCGTCTGGTTTGCCGAGAGGCACTGGAAGCCGTACTATAAGTGAGACAGGCAAAGCAACCAATACCTTGGTTTTAACATTATGCACATGTACATGCTCGGGCTGAACCCCATCTTCATTCTGGTGGACTTGGCCTTTGTTATTCTTTGGGGGTAGAAAATAATAATGTCAATACTGTGGTCGTGCCCTCGAATGGCCCCACACCTTACAGACGCCGCCCCCACCTCCCCCCTGTGCCTTCTGGTTTCTTTGTCTATTATTTAAAAATTCACCATTGGTCAATTTTCATAGCGTCAGAGTATTCGCCGAGGTGGTCCCGCTTTCTAGTCAGGAAACAGTGATCCCTTTCGGGTCCAAACCGCTGTTGTATTTCAAGCGACGTCTCAACCATGCTAAGGAAATGGTATCTAACCCTGGTTTATTTATTTCGGTTCTTTCAATCAACCCAATTCGACCAACTCAGTAATTTAGAAGTTGGAGTATATCTTTATAAGAAGCCGAGGTAGTCGATGGTCCCTTAGTACCAGGCGGAGCGTTTTTACATATATACTGTATCTATGGTGGGACATGGTGTTTCACTAGCTCAAGTAGGTTCTCCTATCGAGCAAGGTTTAGAGGTCGGTCTATCTGTCTATTCAACTGTATAACTATTGATGGGTGATTATTGCCAGATGCAGCTCATAGTGACTAACGAAGCACTTTATTTGTATTGCACACAAGGCCACTTTCCAAGGCTGTACTTGTATATAATCTGGCGACTTATTAGCCATGTAACGATGCTTTTTCCTTGATAATTTCTTTCGCTTTTTATTTTCATATTAGATTTTCTATCTATTTTATTTATTGTCTTCGAGATGGCTGAGTGTGTGCGTCTTGATCCAGCAGCCATCCTGTATATATGTATATATATAAATCCAGCAACAGCGAAATATATACCGGAGGTTAAGCGGTCATATAATTGCCTAGTACTAATATTTGCTGAATGGTATTCCGTGTTGTAAACCAAAGCATTATTCAATTTTTCGGGTGATATATAACGAAACCCTGACTATTGATTGTACATACTCATTGTATGGAAGGGAGACATAGCTGACGTTAAAAATAGAAACACCAGAACGACAGGAAAAGGGCAAAAGAAATATTCGATGAAATAGCAATTGGAAAAAATGGCCAGGGAAAAAAAACTCCAAAAAAAGGATATAAATACTCAGGCTAATTTCTATTAATATAACTTCCTATAGCTCTCTCGTAACAGAGGTTATTTCAATCGCTAGGCACCCACAACTATAGAGCCATCGTTCACTATAAGCCTCACATATTTTCAAAATCCTTGGTCGTATCTCTTCGAGTCTCCTCAAGCCATGCATCGCTCCTCAGCAAATGAATCCGAAGAGGTCTCTTACAGCAAGTGCACTCGACGTTGCTCTAGATGCCATAGACAACATCACCACTCTAGGAGAAAACCCGCAACCACGATTGTATACAACAATTACATCAATGTGGATGCCGAGGGGCTTGATTCCCTGATTAGTCGCCTAGAGGCGGTTCGGTTTCATGGGCCGCCTTCCTATGTCGCGGAGCTGCCAACCGAACCGGACCGTGCTCCACACCCCCGTGATAGCCTATCATATGGCCGTGCCCCAAAAGTGAATCGATATACGAAGCCAACTTGGATTAATAGAGATCGGCGTAGCGCTTAGGTCAAAGTGGTTATATATATAACGGAATGATTCATGTATACTCGGGACTCTGTGTACCCCTACTTTTCTTATGATCTCTTGGAGGGGTTTCCCTGTATACCTTTGCTTTTGGTCTTTCCAATTTTTGTTCATTGTTCCTGACAATTTTTCCTGGCTATTTTTTTTGGGTTATATAAAGTAGGACCTGGCTCGGTCCACTAGGACTTATACATCAGAAATTCCATTTTCTTCGTTAGGTTTATCATCACCTCTTATAGGTTTCAATGCCATCGGCATTGCTAAAATAAGTGGGATTCTATAGATCAGGCATCATTTATAATTCAACATAATGATAAATATACGATACCATAGTTTGGGAATAATGGAATTAGAGCTAAAAAGCAATAAAAACAAAACATTCTTGGGTATTAGTAGGTATACCTCAAGACTTTGGCTATTGGCTCACCGGAACGCTTATGTAACTACAAAGAAAAAGAAATTAGAGGGAAGCCAAAGGGAGAAGGGGAGGGGAAGACAGAGGGGGGAAGAGTAGGGTGAGTGCGAATCAGTGGGAAAAAAAGAAAACAAGTAGAAGAGGGGAAAAAGAATTTACCTCAGTCTCTATTCCCTCTATTTCTTCCCTTATCCTTCTTTTCATCTGACCTGCACGCATTTCCTTTCTATTATTTTATTATTTTGTCTTTAATTTAGAATAAGTAAAGAAAGCAAAAATATGTTTAAAAGAATGATAAAAAGGAAAAAATGAGAAATTAAAAATAATAAAATAATAAAATAATAAAATAATAAAATAATAAAATAATAAAATAATAAAATAATAAAATAATAAAATAATAACATAATAACATAATAAAATAATAACATAATAAAATAATAACATAATGTCATCACGCTTGGACCAGGCCGTTCAGAGAGTTTGACATTTCTTTTAGAAGATCAGCGGAAGATAAGAGTAAATCAATACAATAAATTACTGTCCACAGTGTATTCTACGAATGGCAATATAAGAAGCGCCAACCTCTCCTCGGAAACCATGTCTCTGAAGCTCCAAAATACTTTATCAGTAACTGAACTATTTTCTCGTGAACCAGCAACCGCCGTCAAAGCATACCTAGGAATGGCTAGCACCCCCCTAAGGGCGGCTCCGCGTCCGGATTCTCACCAATCCCCAGGTCCTGAAGCCAGGTCTCCCATCAAAAAGGTACGTACCTATTCGGTATCGAGTTTGTCTTCCACTTACAATAAGAAAATCTAGACACGCCAACAACGAGGTCCCACCACAAAGGACTTGGACAAGGAAATTAGTGACCTTCGAACCATGTTTCAAGAGTCCAACCATTATAATTCGAGCTCTGTGGCCCGATATGAGAAACAGATGGAAGCCTTTGTCTCTAAATTCGAGACGACCATGCCGGGCTGCCATCAGGAAATATTATCCCGCTTATCCTCGCTCGAGGAAATATCATCCCGCTTATCCTCGCTCGAGGAAATACTATCCCGGATACTCGCACACCAACAACAGGCCCCACAGCAGCGTGGACAGCGTAAACCGTCGCTAGCACAGGGCCAACCTCGGTACCACCCGATCATTCCTTCCTCGATATATACCCCGAGGATGTGTGCGTTCCCCTCCCACCTCAAAGTCGGTGAGGGGAAAGATAGGCTAACACTCCAAATAGCAAGGGCTATTGATTTAGCCCAAGCTCAATTGCACTTCTCCAAGGCAGATAGGATAGTCTCGCCAATCTCCCCCGCAGTAAGTCAGGAGAACCAGCACCCTGGCCAAATCAACAACCACGGAGATGTCCCGCGGACCGCTCAGTGAAAGGTCTGACTTGATGGAGACATCGGGGGGGGAATAGGGGGAATTCCGGGAAGACGCCGTGGTCGCGGCCGGTGAGAATCGGATAGCAATGTCTTTATTCCACGCGATTATGCTCTAGCATATACATGTGCGTCACTTCACGTATCCCCGGGAAGGGTGAAGGTGTCTAATTAATTTGTTTCTGTGTTTTTGTTCTATAGTCATGTATAGCTAGTTCCACTTCGACGGAAGACGAAATCAAGGCTTGACTTTATCAGAGCGGACCTTCGCTGAGGCGATCTGGGTATTTTTGCCAGAGGCCCGTTCGCCCTAGCGCTTGAAGACCAATCTAGTAACTGCGGCGAGAAACAATCAATCCACGGACCCCATCGATAGTTTGAGGAGTGACCACGAAAGTCGGGTTTGAGGAACGCGTGCCCAAATCTTATGGACGAAAGAGAGCCCGTCAACACGAACGAAGGGCCTTAGCATCGCTGGACTCACCCAAGGAGCCATCAGGACCAGGATGGAAGAGTGGCGTGGGACGCAGGGGCTGGATAACCCTCTCGGACGATCCAATGGGGCAATCGATTCAAGGGCGCTTAATACCATGCCCCAATTGGATATAGACGGGTGGGAAGAAGGGGGTGGGGGGTACGCCCTGTGGAATAGGAACTACAACAAAAGAGTACAACCCCAAGGTAAAAGATTCATTGGCCATACATGATAGAATAGCGTGATTCATTCGGATACGATTACGCTAATTAGATCATAAAAATGCTCCTGTTTGGTTAAATTGTATCGTCTCCCTCTCTCTTGCTGGGGTCAACGCTTATATTGACCATGTTACAGGTTTTGTAAAGATCGTGGTGGAGTACCCCTGGCTGTGGAAGGGAGAGGGGAAGGGAGGGGGCGGCTTTAATAGGGATTCACGAGGACGTCCACCTGGACTGGGACTCGGGGACTTTCGCCTGGGAAGTTCAACGAAAGGATGACCGAGGTGGGTGGGGCTGGTACCGGAGTCGATGGCTGGTGACCGGGTTTGGGCGCTGGGTTATCAACGGGAACCAAGATGGGCGGGGGGGCAGAGTCCGGAATCTGCGTAATGGCCTCGGATGGTGAAGTGCCTTTCGGAGGAGGGTAAATGTAGGATTCACGCCTGCGGCAGGGGTCAGCCCCGCTAGTATGGGTCCCGGGGGTCGCGGAATCAGCGACCGAGTCCGGCCGTGTTGGTGTAGGGTGATGATCCGGATCAGCAGTGCCGTGCTTGTGGCCTTTTCTCCCCTTAAACCTTCGACCGTGTTTACAGGCCTTGGTCTTTTCTTCCCAGCGTTGCCAGGTCGGGATCCATTGGTCAACCTCGGCCATCAACTGTAAGGTCCAGTGGTTTGTTGGATCGATAGTGCGCCCGAGGTTCGGAACCTGTTGACCCCATTGCTCAAAGCGTCCTGGGCACTGTAGGCGCCGTTGGGTGATCGCTTTAATTCGACGCCGCGTGGGTTCCCACCGGTAGGGACGGCCAAGGGCGCGTGCGAGGTCCGCCGCCACCATTTTGTACCAGGCAACTAGGGTACAAGAGACCCCAAAGTGAGAGGCGTGGCGATTACAGATCCTGAAGAGCAAGGTCTCGTCCTCGATGGTGAGCGGCTTCGCTCGGTCTGGCCAATTATTGGGATTAGGATCGATGCGGTTCGGGCTGGGGGTATCGGCAGGCATTGGAGCGCTCTGGTGATCATCCCAACCTTGATTCCAGTGTCCATTATCAGCTCTCCCAGAGCTTCATCGCCACCGGTAACTCGAGGGGCTCACAAGGACACTTACCGGTCGGACTTTGATCATTCATCGACAGTTCATCGCTGTTCGAGGTGGTCGATATTGTAGTTGATTCTGGGCTCCCCGGTGCTGACTTGGTAGCCTGCAATTCTTGTGTTGGGGATGGGGGCATTGCTGAGTCCATGGCAGACGGTCTGTTGGGCGGTGCGTGGTGGTGTGGTAGGAGCTGAACTGATACAAATAAGGAGTAGTGAATTAGGAAAGGTAGAGAAATATGAATGAAGGACAAAAGACTCGACCCGATACTGTCTTTATATATACCTTTTTTATGTCTATACATCGAACTTTTAGTAATCGATTATAATGACCTTGGAAATGAGTAAATACCATAATAATTTTAAGGAAGGAGAATGTTCCAAACTCTAACCAAACCAAAATCAAAGGAAGGATTATTATTATTAGTTAATTAGTTCATTATTAAATTTTTGAATGACAGAGGAGAGAGAAGGGAAGGAAAGAAAAAAGTATAGACAAAAAATGTGGAAAAAAAAAGCAGAGAACAGTGGAAAAGAAATATAGGGGAAAATACAGGGGAAAAAATGTCAATAACAATTCCGGTTTTAGTTGAGCTAGGATATTTTGGGTTTAGGCTAGTTCGGTCATGGACTTATCAGTCTTTGTTAGCTGAATCCTAAGATATAGACATACAAAGGTATATAAGCAAATAAATATATATAGGCATAGGCATGGAAATATTGTGATATAAACTTACCAAATCTCCCCCGTCCGCTCATACGAGAGAATAGAAACATCATCATTGTTGCCATCCGTGTCAAAGAAGAAGCAGCAGCGACTGTTAAAGGCGAGTTTGGCATTATACGAGTGTTGCAGTGAACCAGACGAATCTTATTCAATAATTGAGCAACCCAAGGTAAGATGTTAGAAAAAGAATCGAAGTACCATTTCAAGATGCAGGTGCGAACATTGTCGACACAGACCCCAACACGCTTAGCAGCCATCACATTTTCTCATGAGCTATGACCAGTGGCGTCTTCTAGTATACCTCTTGCTTTCTCACTTATTAAACCCGCTTTAAGAGCGGACTTAGGCCCTTTATCGACCCCGTATTCTCAGCTGGCCTAACTCAGCCAAAGGTTTTGCAGAAGAGTCCTTGAATATTTCCGGATCTTCTAGTTAGATTCTCAGTTCCGTAGACTTGAGCTGCTCTTCAATTTCCGTGATTTGCCTAACTATCTCCTCGATCTCCGAATTCTTCTCGTTAATCGTAGTTATTATCTCCTCCTTTTCTTAATAAAAATTCTGGCCTAAATTATTTGGAAAATATTGAGAAGGTTGACAGGATCCCTTCGATAGACTTCGGAGGTAAATCAAAAAACAAATCAGACCTGAGAATTCGAGGTCCTTTGGACCGAAGATTCGGTAGAAAAGATAATGTTTTCTAACTCGAAATATTCGCCCACGAACGCGTGATAGCGCATCTCCTTTTGTGTATCTGTGGTGAGAGGGTGTTCCCTTTTTGCTTTTCCATTTTCGAAGCCCCTACGGCTTTAGAACGCGTGGAATTGTGAATTGAGGGGGATGATTCAGGAGTGTTCGCACTAAGAGCTTTATACCTTGCTCGAGGGTTCTCAAGAGCCATCCAATAAATATATGCCAAATAATATAATCGCCTGAATTAGAAGGCCATGGAGTTATTGTAAGCAATCGCGAGTGTAGTAAATTGTACTGCGGTGGAAATGCAAATGGCGAGCGATTTTGGTGGGTCTTGCGCCATTTCTGAGAGCAAAAAGAGGGGTTACGTGTGTGAATTCGGATAATTCAGTCCTTGGTCTGTGATTATCACTAAATGTTAAAATATTGTATATTCGTTGTGGTGGGGAGAGGGAGGAAGGAGGGGGGGAGGGGGAGATCTGAATATGGATTTAACTAATATAGAATAGTGTCGGAATGATTTTGGACCCATTTATAATAGGGGGAAAAAAAAAACAAGTGTCCACGGGTCCACCTAACCTTGGAAATATAGAAAATAGACAGGGATTAGTAAAGTCTTCCAAGGCTGTTTTTTAGTTCTTTCTCCCCCATCTTTCACTCTTTCTAGTTGTCTTAAGTCCGTTATCTTTATTAACAACATGCTATTCGCTATTCATAAAATCCTAGGCCCCCTAAAAGAAGATGAAAAGGAGTAGTGAAGAACATATACCAATGCTGCTTTTCTGCCACTCCTAAACTCACTCAATTTATCTCTTCGTGGAAGTGGTTGGTTAGGTACTGGTATAGATATGGGTTCTTCTTGATCTCCCCACATGGGATATGTTCGAGTGATGCCCGATACGTTTTCAGAACATAGACACCAAGCGTTACGCCATTTGTGAGGTAGGCATTTAATAGAGCATAACAACGCGAAAGGGGGTGGGACTCTTTAATTGGACCTCTAAGCTGATTGGCTTGCAGTTTCGGGGCATTTCTCAGCAACCAGACAAAGTTGTCATATTTAAAGATGGACCAAGTCAATCGACATGTGCTGCAAAAGTGCAGGAAATCGATAAACATCAGTTCTTTGGCGATAAGAACCAATAATTCCTCGGGTAACGCGTCGAAAGGAGCCATTTTGGTTTGGTGCTGTCTTCAAGATGAGGTTGCGATGAGTGATCGAAGGTTGAGGGCTAAAAGAGACCACTTCAACTTGAATCTCTTGTGTAGAAGGGAAGTTCGCCCGAAGACACTTGGGGCAATGCTCATAGGGGTAAATGGGAGATTGAATGAAGTAAAGAAACCTCCAGTTAGATTGAGTCGATTTATAACCTATTTATAAGTTTCCAGGTCGGGTTCAGACAACTACACAAGAGAGGGAGAAACCAGAAGAAGAGATGGTCCCGAAACGAAAATAGAAAAAAGAGGGGATTTGTAAACACGGAGTCAGAAAGAAACAGAGGAAGGAATAAGGAATAACAAAGCGAAAAAAAGAAGAGAAATAACCGAGTTTTTGACAAGTGGGAACTTGTTCTATATGTATTGAATACCAACGTCCAAGCGGAAACCATTCCCTATGGTGCGGTGTTGGAAGAATCACTAGTGTCTTTTCTACAAGGCGAACGGGAGCTTGACCCTGTTTTAGAGAGAAATCTTAGCAACGGACAGGGAGATACAAATGGTGTGCCGAATTCGGACGATCGACAACATCGCCAGTCTGTGTCTCTTACTGGAGAAAACTCAGCAAGAGGATTCCATGAACGAAATAGCGATCCTATAGTGCCTTCCTTATTAATTTAGAATCAAGTTCCTATTGTCTTTAATCCACTAGACTATCGTAACCTCGTTCTGGGTACTCAACTTCCCCTAGGTTCTCAATTTCCTGGTGTCTTTAATACGTTAGATTATTAATGCATCCCTCCAAACGCTCGAGGTTGTACCGCCGATAATTTGAAACGTATGGCATCGTGGGAAAAACTCTTTCACCGTGTCAGGTCTATGCGGACTCCGTGATACGAATTTTCTAGGTATTATCATTCATAATTATTTAGTTAACTATTTCCTCGCTAATCGGCGGAATAAACGGTTTCTCAATCACACAGCACGTATACGCTTTGCATCTGGTGACTCTGACTGACGCAAATGGTCTCTTCGCTGGTCGTGATCGCTTTAATGTGGGCCGATAATCCAATGTAGAGCGATGAAAGTCGATAATCAACGCCCGTCCGAGTTCATTATTCCAAAGAATATTGTCAGGCCGAAGATCCTGATGAAGGATTCCCAAAGAGCGGATTTTCTTTCTTGACCTCCGAATCTCCCGTTGAAGCCACGAGTTCTGCTCAATCGTTGCTGTGCTTTCGCCTCCCCAGCCCATGATGAGCATGTGACGAATTTCACCAGCTCCATGAAGAAAATAAATTTTTTCTAGGTCGATGGTCCCGAGGAAAACAGGTACTGCAGAGCCCTGGACTCTCCGCAGAATTTGGTATATCTGTGCTTCACGTGAGACTTCCTTCCAAAGTCCCGACGTGGTGCCCTTCCCGACAATTATTAATATACTAATACTATATTAATACTATATTATTATATTTGACTTTTAGAAAGTATATTTCTTTTATTTAGGTAAGAAAGAGAACTGTTGCTCAAGATTTTGAGTAGTATTAAGATCGTTTTGAGAGAGAGTTACTATAGTTTTCTGTTGATAGGGTCAAGATAATTAACAAAGATAGAGAGAAAAAGAGATAATATTTTCTAAAATAAATTTATTTATAATGTATTAAAATTGTCTTATTTTAATTATATTAGATAAAATAAAAAGTATTCACTAGTATAGGTATTTAATACCAAGTGTGGCCTAAATCTCTAATAGTGGCCCGAGCTAAATGCCAACTATTCATTTGACCTGTATGCTCTAAGTCCCGACCAGTGTTCTCTAACTGAATTACATTAGCTGGTCACGGATTTCGGCATAAGTATCTTTCCAGAAAAATCAACATTCCTCTGACAGGTTATGTGGATGGATCTTTCCTTATTTGTTTTACCATATTTCTAGCTTACAGTAGGAGCTACGTTATACCAGCGTCTTAGCAGTGATCTTACTAGACCGCGTTAGTTTCGTGCTGTTGGATAATTTGAGAGAGTGGAGAACATGTGACTTGGTAGAAAGAGATCTGCGACGTTCTTTTTGGTCGCGGGACCTGTGCTTTTGTAGACTGTTTCTGTTGTCCGGTCATCTGACTGGATGGAATAGCCAACGCCTTGGCCAAAATTGAACCAATTATATTCAATATCTAGAGGGTTTTATAGTGGACGCCGCTTGCGATTCGGATTTCCAAAGGCGATATTATGTACCACATTACGTGACGAGCTAGTGGGGCCCTTATTATTCTACGACCACCGATATGGCGCTTCAGAGGGGTAGGGACAGTCAAAGCTGTTCTGAAATACGTAGGCCAAAAAGCTATGGAAAGAGTTTGATGTGAATCGGCTGAAAGGTATTCGATCCGAAAGAACGCGATTTATATATCAACAATAATGAAAGCTACTATTACTCCCCTTTTTAAATCTGTCCGGGATTTTTATGTTAACAACCTCGATCTTTGTTATTCTGGCTAGATTTTTAGAGTCGGCTACGTAAGGCTGTACACACTCATAAAGCCACTTCGCACGCCTCTGTAGTTCTGGACTCCCTACCAATTCCTTGTATAGAGCGCAATACTTGCTTAGATCGCAGGATTCACATAATAGTCCTGCCTCTATTTCTCCTACTAGATTGCAAGACTATGAGTGTCTTTAGAAGTGTCTTTTACCGTGATCTCTGTTCCCCTACTCAGGGGATTCATATTAGATATAGGATACATAAAGAATAGGAAGAACCTATATAAGCTTTAAATAGAGTACTCAACAAGCCTCCATATTTACAAAAGTTCAACTCTAAGAATCTATAGTATAGAAGAGGGAAGCCAGGTATATACAAAGGAATACTGTCATATTTTGACCTTGAAAGAAAAAATTTATAAATATACTATTTAATTTATAAATAATATCATACACGGCATTGTTGCTCTTCATTTAACACAGGCGCTAGGGAAAAAGAGGTGAGTGATCAGGCTATTCGGCTGTAGGTTTAAGTGTCTGACCATGAGGAGCGAGATGGCTACTGCAATATCTCGAGGAAGTGACAGCGATTAGCCAGACCAAGAATCCATCTCATCATTGCAAGTGGGGCTGGGGTGACGTTCTCTGCGTCATACCATTTTCCTTATTGCCGAAAAGGTAAAAGGTAAAAACCTGTGCGTATTGATAGAGTTCCTAGGTGTTCAATAGCCGCTGGCGATATGAGGGCGGCTATATAACACTTCAGTCATGTGTACTCAGAATGCCCCCTTGTATCATATACCGGCTAACTGCAGACAAAAGGATTATCGGTACATATATATACTAGCCTGGGCTTTACTAGGCTTATTCAGCTTTTGTAACTGTCTTAGAGTTGCATGATAGATTTTCTTATGCCTTTATTACTTTATATTCTCCTGTAATCCCTTTGCGAAACTCGAAGTTACCCAAGGTATTTAGTATGCTGCTGATGAACTAGGATTCTCTCTAGAGGAGGGGGTTATCTTAACTATACTTAGGCCATGGAGCGCACTCTTAGTATTTTACGAGTATATGTTCGAAGGTATAACCTGATTCTTACGCGTCTGTATACCTTTGTCCCTTTTTTTGTGTTTCGTTGGATTTAGGGATTTGACTTGATTTAATTTTTCTGGAGTTCTTATTATTAAGGTATCCTAGAGCCATATTCATCACTGTATTTTTCCCGTTGTACGGCATTCGATGACAGACTTTTTGATATAGAAGAAAGGACTTTTTACTTACTCGAACTTGGAATCGTATAGTACCTCATCGTGGAGCCGTTTTACGTAACCATGTAACTAACTAGTTAGTTAGTTAACTACCCCGCTGACTAAGCGTTGGAAAGTTTGAGACAGTGCGCTCTAAGCCTGGTATGATAGTAAATAATAAATTGCCGCAATCATGGAAGAGTGCACTATTTATACCCCTAGGTTCGCTTGCATTGCTATAACCTTCACGTTTCGCTGCCAACAGTGATTGGAGAAATATTCCTTGTTTGAAAAGATGTTATTTTCCCTTTTACATCAATTTTGGTTCCATTGTGCCATGAGGCGTCTGCTCCGCGTCTTCGGGCACACCCCTCGCCTACCCCCCTCCAAGATGGAAGCCTCAATAACGGAGGCTAGGGGGAACGTGGCAGACCGAGCTGTTGATTCTCATCGACAGTTAAGGGTGGTGGTCATTGGTGCCGGGATCTCGGGGATTCTGGCCTGTGTGCGGTTGGCGCAGAGAATCCCCAATCTCGAACTATGTGTGTACGAGAAGAACGAGGACGTTGGAGGTACCTGGTTTGAGAACCGGTATCCCGGCTGTGCATGTGGTAGGAACCTATGCCCCTGCCGCCGGCTTCGAGAAGGATCAACTGATAGAGCGCTCAACAAAGATATCCCAGCCCATACCTACCAAGCCACCTTCGAGCCCAACCCGGAATGGACTACTAACTACGCCTTGGCATCTGAGATCCACCGCTACTGGAAATATCTTGCACATAAATACGGTTGCATGAAATATATCAAGCTGAAGCATCAGGTATGCGAGGCGGTCTGGGATGACACGAAGTTTAAGTGGCAGTTACAGGTAAAGAGAGACCCAGCCAGATGCAAAGCCTAGGGGTATCTAAGAAATTGCTAGATTCAAGATCGGGACAGTGGCACCACGTATCCGGATCAATGCGAGGTTTTGATTCAGGCTACGGGATTATTGAATCACTGGAAGTGGCCAGCGATTCCGGGTCTTCATGAGTTTCAGGGTAAGCTAATGCATAGCGCATCCTGGGACGAGAGTTACGACTATATGGTGGGTTTGACTAGCGTTCCGCATAGTCAGGGGACTTACAACTTCTAGGGCCAGCGGGTTGCGATTATCGGTAATGGATCGAGTGGTATCCAGATAGTTCCCGCTATGCTGCCGAATGTGGCACACATTGACCACTATATACGAAATCCGACGTGGATTGCCCCGTCATTCGCAAAAGCCTATCTCGATGGGCGCGGACAGGCACCCGAGAATTGTGATTGGCTCCCTTATATGTTCATCGGCTGCGCTAACACGAAATGGCAGTCGCTTTTCCCGAGGACGAGAGAAAAACGCTTCGGGAGGACCCCCCAAAATATCTGGCAATGCGAAAAGGTAGGCCATGTTTGACGGGGCCTCTGGACGAACTCTCACTAGGTCAATAGGTCTTGAGCTAGTTTTACAGTCTGTTCATGGGGCCACGCTCTTGGGCCACCGACAACAAATCGCCGCGCAGCAGGAGTTTACCCGCCACATGGACCATTGTCTGACCGATCGGCCCGACCTCAGCGACGAGCTAACGCCCAGCTTCCCGCCCGCATGTCGCCGGCTGACCCCGGGCCCGGGCTATCTGCAGGCATTGAAAAACGAAAAGGTGAAGACGATCAAGTCGGCAATAGTAGGGGTCGACACAACTGGCATTATCACCGCAGACGGACTGCACAGGCCGATCGACGTGCTTGTGTGTGCAACGGGTTTCGATACATCGTACAGTCCCCGCTTCCCGGTTATAGGCCGAGGAGGTATCTCGCTCGCAGAGCGGTGGAAAAACACCCCCGAGACATATCTGTCGATCGCTATAGACGGCTTCCCCAATCTTTTCCATTGTCTCGGACCCAATTCCGGACTAGGCGAGGGAAATCTCTTGCTTGTGATCGAGCGAATCGCCGATTACTTCACTGAATGTGTACGCAAGATTCAGCGTGAGAATATTATGGCCATGACACCCCGAGACGATGCTGTTCGGCGCTTTACTCAGTACTGTGATCAGTACTTCTCAGGAACGGTATACAGCGGCGAATGCCGTAGCTGGTACAAAAGTGGCACAGAGGATGGGCGCGTTACAGCCCTGTGGCCCGGTATGCTCTCTATACCACGGGATAACAGCTACGTGTTAATTGTCTATATAGGCTCATCGCTACACGCAAAGGAGGTATTTACACACCCTCGCTGGGAGGACTTTACATATGATCATGGCGGCAATAATCCCATGGGCTGGCTAGGTGACGGGTGGACGGAGGACGAGAAGCGCGGTACTATCAGGGTAGATTATTTGGATGATGACAAGATTGACTTTCCTCCCGTGCCTCTGGAAGGATCCTAGTCAGGGGGCTCCCAACATACGTGGTATCATTCACTGGGAAAGGCGATATGTAGATATCCCATGAATTTCTGACTAAATTGATCATTCCCGGTTGCCTGTTATCAAGAGAAACCGAAACCCGGACGCTCTAGCTCGCTTTGTTGCAAGAAATATATCAATAATGTGGAAGCAGTCGGGTGCATATTCTTTGCCCCTGGTGCTTTGAGCCTACGCAAATAAGTGATGTGGCGTTATAATTTTGTCTTAGTCACCAGTGATTGACTTTGATGGCTATATCCGAGGGTACGCCTCGAATAGTGAGAATATACTGACCATGGCGCCAGGAAGTGCGTGTTTATTCCAATTACTACGGAGCGTACATTTGGAAGTGCATACTTGCAGAGGTAAAGAATCCAGACTATTTGGCCCTCGATGCCCTCTAATCCACGAAATTAGCTTGGCGCAGAGAGGAGGTGTTCGCTTTGTATTTAACGGAACGGAGATACCAGTCCATCTTCAACCTCTGTGGTGTAGGCGGGGAGCTCGCAAGGGCTTGTTGATGGCTCTCCAGCCTGGTACATTTCAGTAGGGGTCTTGCAAATCGAAGAGTGGCCTATGGAGCCACTGGGGGTGATCGTAGACTCCCTAGACTGACTCGAGTGGACGGGTAACTCAACCACCCCACCCACGGTGCGTGTTTGCCTCACTTCCCTATGACTCTCTGACTGAATCTGCCGTCCATCCACTTCACTCGGGCCCCTGGTATGGGGGAACAATCCAACGGCGTGGAGCAATTGCCGAAGAAGCCCATGCCGCTCATAAAGACAGCTAGGGCAGTCACGTTTCCATCGCCACACACACAACCATAACATAGAAACACATACGCAGAGAAAAGGAAGCGAGATTGCTACGGCAGCCGGTACCACCCATTCTGGTCGACCGACATCGCTTCTTTGGTTGGCTGGTGGAGCGGGCGTGGGGTTGTTATAGGGATACCAATGTGGGGGCTGCCTCGGGTAGGCGGAACTAAATAGTGAAGGCAGCTCTGTGTTCGCCCAGGTCGCTGGGGCGGTCCTGGTCGCCTTTCCCTCGCCACTAGAATTGGCGGATTAGCAGGAATATTGATCCCCAAGCTCCTCAGCCGATGGCCTTACCTGCCCCCAATGTTATGAGTGAGCACGGCCGGCACGCGATATTCCTGCCACGAGTCCGGCCGATAGGATGTCTGGAAGTCTAACGAGTTGAGGTTCAGAGACTGAACGATCCCCCCCTTTACGCACTGGGAAGGGTCCTTGAACCGACCGCCCACGATGAGCATTTGGTCCGGGAACACGCGAAAGCACCGATGCCCGCTGCGACCATGCTCGGTGGTTCCGACCCGCCCCTTCACCCAGGTAAAAGATGGGAGGGAGAGAATATACACATCATCATACGGTGTGTGCTCTGCATCCTGTCCGTCGTAACCACCGTAGATATATATATTATGCGAGCTACCATCCGAGGCGGATGCCACAGCCGAGCAGAACAACGTGCGGCCCTGGCGCGGGATATTGCCGGTTGTGTTCTGGAGATGCCTGTAGAGCGTTAGTGTCTCCTCTGGAACCATAACTGGGAGAGAAGGCGGGGGCGTGCCATTTTCGGTTCGCGATATCATAAATCGGAATCGTCTCCATAAACCCTGGACTGACTCGGTCCTAAAGGCGGTCTTAACTGTGGTCCTTGTCGACTAACCCCGTGAAGAGACGTACATTGTCTTCCTTTTGGGAAGCAGAGAGACCCGTGGGATAGATACCCTCTGGGTGAACGACCCCTCCAACGACGGCCAGAACCCCCTGTTGCGATACCGGGATCCAAACCAGCTCTGCATTTGCCCGCCCTGAGATAGCACTCGGTAAGGTGATGTTTTCCCATGATATATCGTCCTGGCCGTTGCCCAGTTTGACAGCCATCATACTCTCGGCCCTCGTACCCGCAGAACCATTATATGCTGCAACGGGACCCCAGTCCTTAGCGTGTATGCCACTGAAGTAAAAGCCTAGATTCTCGCTCGGAATGGAGACATCAGCTCCATTTGTGATATACCTAGTAATACCTTTAGGGAGCGTGCTATTAAAGAAGCCGGGTTTCCAGGATGAAACTTTGGTCTCCGGAGCATACTCCTGATAGACCAAGATATCGTGGGGACCGGGCATGCCGTGGCTGTCACTGGGCATGGTCAGGCCGCTATGTAGTAGTCAGGGTTGATGTGTGCAGAAATCTAGATAGAGGGCACTCTCACCCGTAAAGCACAAATCCATAGCTGTTCCCAAACATCGCACCGTCTTGAAAGTTCATTGGCGCATCACTTGGATGTGGATTAGAGGAGAAAAGGCCGGATATATTGGTGGTTTCGATATCAAAGCCCTGGGCGAGAGGTAGCGTGAGGAATGTATCTTGTGAGCCACCTATTTGCAGGCTGTATGTTAATTATAGGGCCCATTCTGTAGAGGGCAAAACGCACCATCATTCTGCGGGGTTCCATAAGTCCCATCGGAGAGGCCGCTGTAAATTCGTGAGCTGTCAAGGCGCGTCAAGGAATTAAGGTACAAGACATACCTTCTCCACCATAATGAGCCCCCATTAAAGTGTATCTTGTCTCTAATCCAAGCGGCTTGGTTTGTCAAAAGGATGTTCCATAGATCAAGCAGACGGCTTACCTTGATACTGCGACCAGTTACACATTGAGATATTGATTGGCGCCCGCCATTTCTGTCCCCTAGCGGCTGCTATGATACCCGCAAGGATGCAGAACCTCTGTGTGATGGAGTTGGGGAGCATTTTTCACGTCGAATATAGCGAGAAAATGGTAATTTGCAAAGTGATCGTTTCCAAGGTCTGTGTCTCTGCTTATTATATAGCGCAGGCTGGAACCTGAGGCCACAACCTGTGGAGACATGCTTATTTTTCTGTGGTTTTACTTACCAAAAATTACCTGAACCTGTTGGGAAGGCTTACCGAACCATGACATCGCCCTGTCCTTATAGTGAAGACCCGCGTGTGCACGCATTCATATATACATATACCTGAACAGAGCCATATTTCCTTACCATGAGAAGAAAGCCTCCTTTGACAGTCCTATTACTGCTATTTACTGGGGAAAGATCAAAGTTAACTCATGGAAGGGATCAAAATGCGGAAGGAAAACTTCCTTTTAGAGAGAATCTACTCTTTGTTCTTCACTAAAAGCTATATTATTCCAATCTCTGGATAAAATGAAAAGCGCGTCTATACCACCAAAGGACAGGGATATAACCACATCCCTGTTTAATTCTATGTTGGTAAATTATGGCGACGACATACGCTTAGGCAGAGGCCACTAAACCTGGATGAATGCGTAGTCTGTGGTTTTGTTCTCTCTCTCGTAGGAATCAGATATTAATATAAGTTCCGTGGATTGTTTTGCTTCAAGTCTAGTCTATGATAAACGCATTTATCTGATCTTTGCGGCCCCAGAGAAGGGTCCGTCCTTAGAAAAGACACGATAAGAGAAATATATATCGGAGGAACATCTTGACGCTTATTCCGAAGAAGAATGAGCTAGTTACTGGCTTTACAGCGATCCGCGATAGAAGGTGTGCCCAGTCAAGATTCACGACCTGGAGGTGTATATAACTGTTAGTGACTTAATCACTTGAAAGACTTAGGTCTGTCCATAGGGTCCAGTAGTCAAAAGAAAACTAGATGATAGCTATCCAAATAGTATCTTCCATTATAAACAGAAATCGCCATTAAGCTTAGAGCTAGAAAATATTTCTCTCAAACGAAAGAGCAATCAGAACCAGAGGGAAAAGGATAAAGCATGATATGCCAAAGAAATGGTAGACACAAATAAAGAGACTGCACTGAAGACAAGTTGGCATATTGTCAAAGAGCCCGGTGGCATAGTTGATCATGTAGAATGAGCCAATGTTTCGAGATGATGCCTCAGCTAGGGGCGATCGTGGTTGTGGGACACCAGGTGTCTCGGTATTACCATCGTCGGGGGATGAGAGTCGTAACGAATCTTTAGGGTTTTCTTGTGTATGTTCGATTCCATTGGGAACAGAGGAGGACATTGTATCAAGGTTGCTCTTGCTGGATGGGGGTGGATTAAAACCACGATGATCACAATGCAAATAGGTGGGAAGGAGGGGATATTGGCTGTTATTTATAATAACCGTTTGAACCAGCCGGGTGGTATTATTAGTTAAAGAGGAGACGTGGAGTGAGGCGGGGGCTTCTGTTGAACATTGGACTCTAGGGCGGCTGTTTCCCTTATTTCTTATTTTTTTCCCTAATCTTTTTTTAGTAATAACACATTAGACCTGAGCTATCCATAGATGTATTTCTGGTGTATTTCTATTTTTAAACTATCCCAATATTATCGTACGTCGGTGAGTGTCTAGAGCATTGATATATGAATATGGTGCTTTGAGGTTTGTTGTCTCAAAGCCATTCATTGCAGATATGCCCGAGTGGAAGATTTACTTTTGTGGTGATCTTATTCGCCAATGGCCACCCGCAAAATCAAGTGCACCAAAAACATGTCTTCCCTCTTCGAATCCACTATATCATCGGTCTCTCGCATTAATAACGCACCGAAAACCTCTTAATCGGATTATGATTCATAAGCGCCGACGAAATCCCATCCCGTCCTCCTTTACTAGACGCGGCATATGACCATTCTCCTTAATTAATTGACACAAGCCATATAAAGTCATAATTGGAAGAGCCGTATGATGATTTGTTTGAGATTCTGTTTTCAAACCACAGTACAAAGAAATAATTTCAAGACCGACGGCTGTTCTATGTTGATCCATCATAAGACAGTTTAGTTGGCGTTGAGGCGAAGAGTATTAGACCCTGTCTCTGCCAGGGGGGTTTACCGCAGTAGATAGCGGCATCCACCAAAAAACGATATAAACCATAGATAATTATTGATCCATGAAGATTTCGCACTCTACTACACCTGAAATTGCTTGAATAATTACTCTATATATACTCCTTCAGTAGGGTGGCCTTTCACGATGATTTGATGAGAACATATTCGATGAAGGCAGATATGGCCGTGGATATTCATGCATTTAGTGTATCTTTATTACGTCGGCAAGTGTACGATGAAAACGGCAAAGTGGGAGACGTAGAGAATCAAAAAATAAATAGTTAAACATTTTCGGCAAAGAAAGCTTGGTAATAGTATTGGCCGAATGCATTGAAAAAGTGCTAATATCTCCTACGGTAGAAGGTCGGGAACTACGGCACATGCTTACAGCCTTTTTGACCCAGAGGACATATTGAATAATCTCAATAAATGTAATGCTTTGCTGTACGAATAGAATAATAACTTCACCGATTTCTAGTCCGGTAACTTATTGAAAAGATGAGAACTTCCATATTTCTAGATAGTAGCCTCGTTGAAGAGGCACGATGACCACCTATTCCGGAGGTTTGGGGGTGTTTAGCAGGTTCGGGTTCGAGTACAATGGGCAATGTAGAAACCTTGGTAAGAGATAATAATGGCGAATTTGTATGTAGTTGTCCAGAGGGTTGTGTGAATGGCCATACGGCATAATTTATGGCAGGGAAGTGACCGATCTGAGGGATATTATATAGTGGATTTATGCTATGGGACTGGGATTGAGCATAGGGGTTGATAATCTGGCAGGGGTTTGTAAGACACCAATCGTCTAGCATAGGAGTATCGAAATATCCACTAACAGTATATGGTTCAGACAACATGATCACTGGATAAGACCTGTAAGGCTCGTGGGGCATTTTTATAATATTCGTATCATTTGGTTGCCCGTTAAAGGAGGTAGCAATAAGGCCTAGGGTCAATTTATAGATAAACCATTGGAAAATATCTAAAAATAAACAGTGGCAAATCAAGTCCAGTTTTATAGAAATAATAATCTAAGTATTAATAGAGATGATAATAATCATAATGATTATACTGATGATAATGATCGTCATATTAGTGATAATGGTGAACTTACAGCTCATCGCTTTTTCTGCTATTATTGGCTTCATTTTCTTCAAATTGCTTTGTAGGGACATATTACACTAGGTCCTTTCATGCTTAGTATATGGTTTCTTAATGGTAGTATATAAATATAAGATATATATATATATATATAGGCAGATATTCTTATTAACATTGTGATAATAAGTGACCAATGACCAAATACTGATATAGATTGGTATCAACATGCATAGGATAATTATGAGAACAATTAAAGAAGCTTCTGTAAATCTACATAGGTGATATGTAAGAATTTTAAAAGGCTAAAACTGTAAGAGTTATGTCTTTTAGTTCTGATGATTTAGCGTACTATCGTACTAGCGCTATGAAATAGCCAAAGAGCTATCATAGCTATAAAAGAACCCTCCTCCTCGGCCCTTGTTTCACCCATCCTACATATTTTGCTGTGATTTCCTTTCTTTCCTTTCTCTTTTCTACTCTTTTTTACTGCACCATGCAGGGCTCGGGATGTAATTCATTCAACAACCAGGCGACGGGCTAGCCTATAAACACCACCTTCGAGCCAAGGCATAAGAATCTTTCACTCGACGCTAAAGATTACCGAATACCCTTTCCTCAAGCCATGCATCAAGGCGGTATCAATACAATCCATCCAAGTACGGATCTTAATAATTACTTCTATTCACCTAATGGAGCGCTAATTGTCCGCCCAGGTAACATAGTAGCTAACGTGCAGAGCGAAACGGGTAATAACCGCCCCCCCAAAGATCGATATATTATCCGCCATGGTCAGCTATATAAGAAACGCTATAGGAGTCTCTATCCTCGAGGGGGCTTTCAACAAGGTAAGTTAAACACAATTGTCGAAATGGGAAATATGCCAGATTAACCACCGCTCAAAAGATATGCCGTATGGTGTAGTTCGAAACAGGAGCCATCATAACCAAGACTACCTCACACAAGGGATGAATGGACACGCCCCACGATCCTCTCCTGCTGAGGTGCCAAATATCCGTCGCCCAATTCGATCCAGGAACATTGCCCAGTGTAGTGTGTCTCATCAGCAAAATCTTCACACGCTCCCACCCTTGGCAGGCTCTCGAGCTTATTCAAGAAAAGACGGCGGTCAATGCACACTGCCAGGCATAAGGGAGATTCTTTTCGAGTGCCAAAAGCAGCAGGGCTGTCGTGTGGGTGACCCCAGAGCTCTGC